GCGACATTAGCAATTGCAATTGATCATGCAAATCATGTGTTAGTTCATTGGAATCAAAGTTATATTGATATTTTGGTTAGGAAAAGTTCTTACAAGGGTGATCAAAGGCGTCATAAAAAATTAGGAAGGACTCATAGTTTACCAAACCATTGACATTAAAATGCAACTTTTCGGAACAAACGAATTCAGGGAATGGTTGGTTTGAGTGGTTCATCGTAACTGCTTCTTTTTTGATGGGAAGTGTACCACATTTATCATACCAATTATTGATGGGAACAAATATGTTATAACAACTGCAGGCGATTCACCCCTTTTGATTTGAATAGAGAGTCGCAGACGGTGGTTATGTGACCATTAACAAGTATAAAAGTCCTCCCTTTTGTGAAGAAAAAGGGTGGATGTCGGGAAAAAGCCCCTTTGTAATACTTTAAACATCGGGTCAATGATTAAAATATAAAAATTTAAAATTTAGTGATTTAATTGGAATGAGTTAAAAATTCAAGGACAAATTGTGAAAATTTTGTTTAAGAGACAAATTGTGAAAATTTTGTTTAAGACTTTATATTAAAGGTGGAAGAATTGAAGGGCATATTGGTCTTTTTGCAAGGAATGAATTTAATATTCATTTTTAAAGATATTAAAGTATGTATGGATAAGAAAAGGGGAGATGTTTTTGGAAGCTTGTTTCTCTTCTCTTCTTCTCCCTTTTTGCCACTTTGACTCCATTCTTACGGTGAGTTAGGTTTCAAGTTGATTTTTTTTTCTTTCATTTCAAGTTGGTTTTTGGTTCTTGAGTGATATTAAAGCTTAAGGAAAGCTTAAAGATATGATTAGAAGCTAAGAGATTGAGAAATTCTGATGAATTAGAAAAATGGATTTTTAAGGGAATTTATAAAATATGGGTAGTAATTGGATTCTGAATACAAATTTGACTTGTCAAAGATGTATTTAAGGTGTTTGAAGTTTTAGAAGTGATTGAAAACATGTTTGAATATTTGGGGTGATTTTTAGTTTGAAGAGTTATATGAAGAAATTAAGATGTTTCAAAGGGAGTTTGGAGGTAAGCTAATTAGCTAGAATAAGTGTTAATGAGTTTAAGATTATTATGAGAGCTTAAAGTTTAAGATTTTGGTGGAGGGTGTGTAAAATTCTAAGTGAAATAGGTGAAAGTTGGGCAAGGGTATCGATACTAGAATAACAGTACTGATACTATAGGGTTAAATTCAAGAAAATAGTTTAAATTCGAGTAACAATATCGATACTGATTGAAGTAGTATCGGTACTAAATCAAGGTATCGATACCAAGAGTAAGGTATAGATATTGTAATTGAAATCTGATTTTCAGAATGTCAAAATAGTATCGATATTAAAGTGGGTATCGGTATCATATAAGAGAAGTATCAGTACTGTGGGTAGAGTACTGATACTATTCAGTCGAAAATTGTTAATTAGGTATTTCAATTCGCTTAAGTAAAGATTATTTGGTTAAATGTTAATTGAGATATGATATTTATTTTGATCGTGTTAATGTGTAGATTTAATTGAAAGCAAATGTTGAGCAAAGTGAAGTATAAAGTTGAAGAGTTAAAGTGAAAAAGAGTTGTTTAGGGCTTAAGTGAGGCAAATGCGAGTGTTATTTACTTATTTTATCTATGATTGGAGGATGGCTTACGATGAGCCAATCTCAAATGTTCTTGAGCAAAATAAAATGCTATTAGTATATGTTATTATGTTCTATAAGAAAGTGTTTTATATGAGTATATTCTATGTGAGGGCTTCGTATGTGTATATGCTTTATATGAGTAAATTGATAAGTGGAATGTGATATGTAATATGGAATAATTATGAACTATGAGCATATGATAAATATTGAAAAAATGCTATGTGAAATTAAATATTATGAGAATAAGTTCTACGTAAATAAATGATAAACTTGGATAATATTTCGTGAAACTGTTCTACGTGAAAAATGTTATATCTGAAAATGTTATATATGAAAATGAGTGAAAAGGTTCTACGTGAAGATGCCCTATGTGAATTTACATTGCGAGAATAAAACACTTTAAATAATGAAATGAAAATAATTATATGGTTAAAGCACATAGTATATTTTATGAGAATTTAGGGTATAGTTATCATGCCATGAGTCGAGGGTTATACGCGATCTTTCGGGATAAATCTATGTAGTCCTTCGTGACAATTCTATATGGTCCTTCGTGACAAATTCTACGCAGTCCTTCGGAACAAATCTACGTGGCACTTCGGTGCAAATTATATGAGCAGTGGTGAATGCATTAGTGCACAACCTCAATATACTCGCATACCTTGAGTTCTCAGCGATATACGTTGAGCTAATAAAATAAACTTGATATAATTTGAACTATGAGTAAAAACATTAAAATGTTAATGAAGTGTCTATTGGTTTGATACGAATTGTTTCAAGGTAAGGTATAAACAAGTGTCAAATGCATATAAATTAATCAGTAAGTAAATTTATATATTATAAATTATGAATAGTATGATGTTTTAATCGTTAATAATTCTTTTAGAAATATTTGCATAATCGTTCTATTACTTTACTATACATAATATTACCTCAACAAGTCATAGACTTAGCGTGTAATTGTTTTCACACGTAGGATCCATAAGCTTCGAGGAGTAAGTTGAATAAGCAATATTGGGACAGCGTACTGGTGAGAATTATTAGATCAGAGAGAAATTTGATTTGTATAAGTTTTGATACAAAATGTTGTTGGCATGTACTAATAATTGTTTTAAATTATAGATACTTTGGTATGTTTTGTAAATGTGGTTGAAATTTTTACAATAAAAGATTATATTTTAATCAAATTCTCAAAGAGTCAAAGAGTCTAAAAGTCAATGTGACACCTCAGATTCGTATTCGGGTTGAGTATGGGTCACCTCAGATTCGTATCCGGGTTGAGTATGGGTCGAGGTGTTACACCCTTTCTATGTCTTGATTGAGAAATTTTATAGTCACCCTCAATGTTGATATTACATAGATCCATGATGACTATTTATAGATCAATAGGATAGACAAACATATTTGATGTAATCGGTCATTGATCGACTCTGGAAAGTCATGTGAGACTTGTTAAAGGTCATGTTAAAATGATGTGATTTTTCGAGCTAGGGATACGAGGCTTCAAATTCCTTGTATTCGAAGATATTTTTATGAGGCCTACATTACAAAAGAGTACTTTGAAGGTCTTAATGTACCGAATAGAGAAGACTTGATAAAGATATAACAACATTATAATCTAATTTTTTTAGCCTATCTTAAATTCTCCCCGTTACAATCTATCTAAAAAGAGCAAACAACTCATCATTTGTCTCATTTTCATATAGCCTATCAAAACTTAATGTTATATAATAGACTTAATACAAAATAAAATACATACAATAATTTTTTCTTATTTAGGTACTTGATTTTTTTGGTTAATCCAAATATCTAACACTATAAATGTTATCATTTTAAGTGTTTCGGTCGTAACGCCGTTAAAAAATTATGTTAAGTGTCATGTGTCACGTTTATATTTTTTTAAAATATTTAAAAAACTGTAATGTACAAAAAAAAATCTAAAAAAAAATTATAATTTAAACCCCAAAATCTTAAAATATCTAATTTTAATCCTCATTTTCAATTATTGCCAGCCATCTCCTTTCACGTCTCTGTAGTAATCTACCCATTGACTAACCATCATCTTTTCTGTCGTCCCAAACCTCTATATTCATAAACCCAAAATCTTTGATACTAAAATTAATGGATGATCTAACCCTAAAATTTTTTGGTAAAGAGGAATATGATTTTTCCATGGCAAAAGGACGGCCAGGAATTGGTGGGAGAAAGGGGAGAGAGAGGGAGACACGAGGGGAAGAAAGGAGAAGGGGACAAGCAGAGAGGCGCGAAGGTAGGGGAATTTTTTTACTTTTAAATAAAAATATATAAACGTAACACGTGTCATTTAACGAATTTTTAACGACTGTTAAGATCGAGACACTTAAAATAATAACATTCGTAACATTAGATATCTCAATTAACTGAAAAGTTTAAACACTTAAATAAGAAAAAGATATATTTTGGATACTTATTTTATATTAAGTCTATATAATAAAAACATAATGTCAAAATTTACATCAAACATTTTATTTAATGATCACTTTAATCTATCTTTTTTTAAATATTTTAACCCTCAACGTTTTATTTTAGATTAAAATAACTCATTATAAGACGAACATATTAACTGATTAACTATTAATATTTTTTATTAATGTGACAATGCCATATATACACAAGAGACTAAAAGACTCATATCATATATTTAAAGTGATCGACATGTGACATATCATTTATATATATATATATATATATATATATATAAATGATATGTGTTATATCTTCATTTATGTATCCACAGTAATATTGCATCAGTGCTTTTTAACACATAAAATATAAAATATTTTATTTCAATTATAAATATTAATTATTTATAAATTAACGATTTTCATAAAATTTTACTTGTGTCTAAAAAAGAAAAACAAAACTTTCTGTTTAAGAAAAAGAAAAAAAGATGAGCTTGTACTTTGTTATTGGGTAGTTATCATTCCACCTGTCCCTTGATAACCCTAAAAACAATTTAAAGTTTGACTCCAGCTAGCACCAATCCTACATGGACAGCCTAAACTCTTCTTTTTCCAACACTATCAACTGACTTAGATGTGTGTGTATAAATATATTTCAAAAAATAAATAAATATAAAATCAAAATCCTAGGGTTTTACATGAAGAGAATGTTTTAAAGAATATATAATAAACATATTATTTCTTAGTTTTAAATAATTTAAAAGTGATATTTATATTTTCGAGTTCCGTAAACACAATGCCAATTGTATTTGATACCGTACATTTATTTTTCCTTCTTATATTTGTTTTTAGTACTCATTAATATAACCATAACTGAGTAAAAAAATAGTCCGAATTAACTTATTATTCTACTTTTTTTATTCCTTGGATATGTTGTTTACCTTAACGGCCGAGACCGAGAGCAGCCTCGACGTCGAGCCGCCATGCAAAACCACCGCGTTCGCCACCGGCGCGATCCATTTTCCAGACATCACAGTGCAACATTATCGTGGAACACTTGTTCTGCCACGTGAACTGCAACCTCACCTTGCATGAAAATGCAGTGCAAAATTTAGGTAAATCTTCTTTAATCACAAGCCAAACCTTTATCTCTGGCGGCAACACTGTCGGCAGCCACTCCTTACGCCCTTTTCCCGCCGTCAGCATCGTCTTATATGCCCCGTTAACCCACCGGACCCTATTCAAACCGTCGGATATAAACCCTGGACACGTGTCGGCCTCCAGATTCTTCATCTTCTCCACATCCGTATACCCTAGCTTTCTCCCTGCCATGCAAGTATCCGTCACGCACTCCACGGTAACCCACGACTCAACCACCGTTTCCCTTTCAGTTTGACTCGCCGCGGCCGTCCGATCAGGTTCCTCCAAAAGTCCGATACGATTAATCCAACGGCTGTTCGAGTACGAGTTAAACAAAGAAGGTAGTAGATCTTGATTATTTTCCTCCGAAACTGCACTGTTTTCATTGTTAATTGAACCATTCGCTTCGGGTTTCTCCGGTAATAACTGCAGAGTCACAATATTTTCAGTTTTATCATGATCTGGTGTTGTTGTTGATGATGATAATTTCTTTCCCTTGATATTATTCTTTCGAGCCCTTACGTACTTTCTTTTAGCTCTTGGCTCACAAAGCAACAAGTTTTTGTTACCAAACTGACTCTCACTGGAACCAGACTCTCCGGCAACCGGTTTCGGAGCGATAGGACGGAATCTTAGCAGTATCGGATTGATGTTCACCGTCTTGTCTTGTGAACCCCATGTGTAGTTCACAAAGCTCCGTTTCTCACCACTGTTATTCATTTTTTCGACGTCGGAAAAGGCCACAAACTCTCTCCAGTTTTGTCTCTTCAAGATCTCAATCTTTTTTTTTTCTTTTTACTTGAATTACAGTTTTATTTTTTAAGGGTTGTTTTTTGTAGAATATTTTTTTATGAGAAGCGTAATCATGGCTGCAAATCAACAGAGAAAACAACACGTGTTTAGTTCAACTTATGAACAATTGAGACGTTTGATTGGATAAAACTTTAGAAAGATATATTAATTTTTATTAATGATCTTCTAAATAAATTATTTAAATCTAAACTTATCGCTTATAGATTCGTCAACTGAATCATCAAAAAGTAAACAGATTACTTTAAATTATTAAGGTCATTTAATAAATTTGTTCATTAATATTTTTTTACCATTGCCTCTTTAAAACATATTTAAAATAATTCAAATAATTAAATACCTGATGTATTTATAGTGTATGTGTATCATGAATTAAACAGATGATAATATACAATTAAAAATTATTTACAATAATAAAAATTTATAACATATGATACAATAAATCATAAAATTATATATTGTTAGAATTTTAAAATTTAGTAGATGTATATATTAACCGTGGATAAAAATAAAACTAATATAATGAGGCATTTCTTTACTAGGATAAAAGTAGAATCTTAGGTAATATTTTCATGGAATTATACCATTCAAAACAAACTACTATTAGTTACATGTTCATTAATTTAATTTTATAATAGATTAGACAAATAAATGTATTTTGTGATACAAAATGATTTGCATATAAATATATAATATCCTATCCATCGTAACATGGTTTTTATACTTCAAGAAAAGTTAACATTCAGGAGAATATTCTTTTATCATACCGTAAAAGAATAAAATAAGTAAACCGTATAAGACTTATTAAATTCGCATATATATATTAATTAGTCTGAAATGATATAAAATAATAATTGAAAAATAAAATATATAATGTACCAAATTTTAATTTTAAACTAAAAAAATTATACTTCTTGCATAAAAATTTGTTCATAATGAAGAAAGAGACTAGATTTTACCCACCTAGATGGTGGGTGAAAGTAAAATGAAAATGAAAATAATTACTTAAATTAGTGGGTATATTTTCAATGTTGACTAATATTTTAGATGTTATGTTATCTTTTATGACAAATAAATTAAATTATAAAAATAATTTTATAATAATAATTGATTTTGATTAATTAAATTGTAAAAAAGTACTAAAAATATATTACTAAAATAATCAAATTTTCAAATTATTTCTAACCTTTTCACCGTGGACGTCGTGGAGATGGGCCCAAGATGAAAGCTTGATGTTGAGCAGGTGGGACACGTGGACATCGTCTTGATAACGGAGCTTGAATTTCAAAAAAGAAACTTTAAAGGGGTAGGGGGAGGTTCGAGAAAGTGCTTGCCTGGTCTCGCTTCATTAGCCTTCGATTATTTCTAACCTTTTCACCTTTACCATTATTCTTCAACTACTCGCCCATTTCTTCGTCCACGTGTACATTACACCTAATCAAATTAGCCAATGCCTAACCAGGCTTTGAAATTAGGGATAGATTGAGTTATATAATTTTATTAGTACAATTGGATTACAACATATTATTTGTCGTAACCGTCCTTCGGATAGGTAAAACATTGAACTTCGATTTAAATAAAATATGTTAGAGTCGACACCGATCATTTAGGTTAACCGGACTCCTTAATCTATTATCTTACCTGATCTACGTTTTACTAGAAATATATCAGATTTGGAAGTCGTTTATAGCAAAAAAAGGATTAGCACCATTGGACTTGCCTTTCAGTACCAGTTTAATTTATTGGTTGTCTTAATGGTAAAAATTAAAAGTTAAACTGAAATTTAAATATTCGATCTGAATTACTTACCTTTTATCGCTTTTAAAATTGTCCTAAAAAACAAATCCAAATAAATATTAAATAATAAACTAAAATAAAAAAAATATAAAAGTAAATAAAAAAGAATTTAAAAAAAAATAAAATTAAGGTCTAAATAAAATAAAATTATAGAAGAAAATAAAAAAAAATAAAAGGCTAAATCTGAATTGGAGGTCAAATTAAAGTGAATTGGGGCTGCAATGAAAGAACGAGAAGCTAGAGAGCTTAATTGCATAAAAAATATGAACAGAGATTAAATCAAAACAATAAAAAAATCCATCGTAAATTCAATACAGGTGACCAAAATGAATTACACTTCAAAATATCAGGGACTGTAGAAATAATTTAATTTTCTTATAATTGCACTTTCCCCCTTTATATATACCCTAAGAAACAAAAAAAATAACATTTTTAACACTAACCCCAAAAAAACACTCTCAACTCTGTCCCTTTTTTCCCATTCGGCTGAAAGACCTGCCACCGTCCTAGCCTCGCACTGGCGCACCATCGCCCAGCCGCCGCTCTGACCATCGCCTTCGATGGTCGAAAAAACTGACCTAACCCAAAATACTCCCCTCGAGCCCTTGAACCCGAATCCACCCTTAGAAAAACGAGATAATGCCTCAATCGAAGTATATCTAGGCCCCAAAGTTACGACTTTTACCTTTGTTTCACAATAATCTGTCTAGTTCCAGTGGTCGTTTCTCATTTGATCCCACGTCGATGTTTGCTTTGATTTTCCTTGCTTTTTCCGATGCTTATTTCTTTGTATGCTTATGTTTTGGTTGGTTCGGCTGGTTGGTTTTTTTATGTTGGTTTGATTGGTATTTGTTGTTTTGTTTGCTAGACCTTTGGTATTTGGTTTCGTTTTTTCTTATTTTTTTTGCTGGTATTTGGCTACTCACGATGTGTTACTCTCTTCGTTTGGTTGCTTTCCGATTATTGTTGTTGTTGTTGTTCGTTGCATGGTCGGAGGCTTTTATAGCACCATAATCGACCGTTGTAGTCCCGAGTATCTCGAGGTGTTGTGGATTCTTCTAGGTTGGTTCAGTCCCGTTCGTTATGGGTGCGACCGAAAAGCTCGGGATGGGTCAGTCATGGGTTATTCGACTGAAAATCCCACTGGTTGTTGACGTGTGGCAGCCACACACGCTGCTTGCTTCATCTCATGCGGCGCTTGGCTTCATACGACTAGGGTTTTGCAACCCTATTTTGCTTCGATCTCAACTATTGGTTTATGTTTTTTATTGGATGACCCAGGTAGATGCGGCGCTGAGCTTGATTTGTGAAACCCTATTTGACATATAAACTGGGTCATGCCCGTATGCTTGGACCTCTTCTTGATCGAACCGTGGACTGAACTATTTGAACATGAAAACGATAAAAAATAAATAATAATAATAAATTTAAAAACTATATAATATATTATATTTTCAAAATCATATGCTATGTTTTCAAAAACACGTTTTCAAAAAATTATATTGTATACGTTTTCAAAAATATTTAAAAACTATATATTATACGTTTTTTTAATTATTTTAAAAAATATATATCATATGTTTTCAAAACCGTTTTTAAAAAACTATATGTTATACGCTTCAAAAAATATTTTTAAAAAATATATACTATATGTTTTCAAAAATCGTTTTCCAAAACTATATATTATATATTTCCAAAACTATTTTTTTAAACTATGTATTTATACGTTTTTAAAAAATTATTTTAAAAACTGTATGTTTTCAAAACTATTTAAAAAAATCTTATATTATTTGTTTTTTTTAAATAAGCTTACAGAAACTATATATTATATTTTCTCACAACTATATTTGAAATTATTATATACTATATTATATAATAAAGACCCCGAACAAAAATAAGTATCTACACTATTGTTTATAATTTTCTAATCAATCAATAATAAAAATATTATACTAATTGGTTTTTTATACTAATTATTACATAAATAAATAATGGATAATTATTTCTGGTAAACAAAGTATAATAGACAATTTTCAAAAAAATAATAAAATAAATATCATGAACACTTTAATGAAAATAATTTCTTTCATAAAATTAGAGTGATATCATAGATACATTTATTTATTCTATATTAAATACTAGGGTAAATTATACGTTCAACATTCTAACTATCAATTTTATTATGTTTTGATCATTCATTTTTAATATTACATATTGATTTTATTTTGGTTATTAATAGTTAAAAAAATAACACAACTACTTATTTGATTATTTTAACGGTGACATAATATTATCTCACATTTACAAATCAACATCACCGTTAATTTTTTAATAGTGAATGATAAAAAAAATCAAAAGGTAACGTTAAATATAATTTTAAAATAAAATATTAAATAATAAAAATAAAATAGAATTAATAATTAAGATACTAAATATATAATTTATTCTAAATACTAACACATGTATAAAATATTAGTTAAGCATGATAGACTGTAACAGAGTGAACTGGGTCAAATTTGTCATTATCTAGTTTGGGACAAGAGGAGTGAGATAAACGTTCCAAATTAGCGAGTGGAAGGATGGATATGATGAAACGACAGAATGAGAGTAGGAAGATAGACGCGTGGCTTGATTCGATAAAGACGTAGACTCGTGGACCAATAAAAGGAAGAGAGTTGTAACATCACCTGAATAAAGTGATGCATTTTCTGCTTCTCCCACGTGTCTTGATTACCATTCATTTTTATTTCAAATTTTAGCATTCCAAATATTAAACTTAAAACAATTAAATGAATCAAAACTAAAATAATATTTTTATTATCATTACTTCAAAATTTTTGTTAATTTTTATATAAAGCATTGGGTGTCTTTGCTTTTACATTTATTTTCTAAAAGAGCTTATGAATTAAATAAAATTTGAAAAAATTAGATAATAAGTGATTCAAAGATAATAGCTAATTTATCAGCTATTGTCAATGAATATCAAAATAGGACTTACATCTTTACGGTTTTGTTCTAATTTTGTCTCTCTCCTTTTTACATTTTTTTAAATGAAATTCAAAGAAATTAAATTAAAATAAAAATGTATAAAAAAATGAAACGAATTTAAAAAAGAAACTTTGAAGTTGATTACAGAGTCCACCACTGTCGAGTTATCTAAATTTAATGACTACTGATATAATTTAGTTTATCTAAAAAATGATAAGCTACTACTATAATATTATTAGTAATAACTATAGTAGGTTAAAAGTAAAAGAATAAATTTATTCACTTAATTAGTATAATTGTTTTAAGTTTTTTTTCCCTTCTCCAAGACTTTAGTGGATAATTTCTGTTTAGGTTCAAAAGCACAATCATAAACCTACCAGGATAATACATTTTATTTTCAAAAGACTAATACAGCATATTAATTTTCTTTAAAAATCATACAGCACATTTAAATTTTTTTTATCAAAAATAAACATATAGCCAGCTTTGATATATAATTAGTACGGATTCCCTCACCACGAGACTCAACTAGGATTATAAATAAACAGATCCAAGTTTAAGTATTATTAAATTTGACTCTACTCAAGACAATATAAAATGAAACTTAATTATATTTAAAAAGTCTCAATCATAAAATCGTCAAACTCAACAAAAACTGAAAAAAAAAATTAAAATTCAATTCGATAAAAATTAACTAAATTTTAACTGAATTAATCTTGAATAACTTACTGCTTATCCCGGTCTTATTCGCGGGTACTAAAGAACATATCGTTGGAAGTAACATCTTACCTTTCCTCCTCATATAATTTTGGTTTATTTACAAGTTTCATTCTTATGTCCATAAATGTGATTCGTTAACCTTTGATCAATAACATTGCGTGTTGATTAAGTATTTAATCACTCCTTTAAAAATCAATATCTTGTTTATTGAAGTTTACAACTTTAATTATTATACTAAGCTTCATTATTTTCCATATACTATCTCTATATATCTATACATGCAGATACCATATTATTCTACGATATTTCTTCCACTGTTTCAAGTTAGACTTCGAACTTTTAAATTTACCTGCAGAAGCAAGGAGATCGTCATTTGACTTTCCTTCTTCCTTAGATTCCCAAACTGAGAGCAGCGTTAACATCCAGCCGCCATGCAAAACCACCGGAGCTCAGCCTCCAAACGTCGCAGGGAATCGTTTTCGAGCAATTTTTTCCCGTACCATCAATGTACTGCAACCGTACGCGGCACGAGAATGCGCTGTGAGAAAAGAGAAACCCGTCTTTCACTACCAACCCCACGGCGGTTTCGGCCCGTTCTTCCCCGTCGTGGTCCCCCTCTTCTAAGCCTACCATGTTTTTATACGCTTGGTTCACCCATAACACCCGGTTCAACCCATCCGATACGAGCCAGGGACACGTGTCCTTTTCGAGAATCTTCATTTTCTCCAAGTCCGTACATTTCCCCATCTCTCCTTCCTCAATAAGTGTTTCCGTAACACACTCCACCATCAAAGACGACTCAAGCACCTTCATCCTCTTCCTCATCCGCCCTGGATTCGACAAGGTCAACCCCATCATCACCTCGTGATCTGCCGAAACCATTTTCTTCAATGTCAAGCACAGCGATGATGGATCTTGAAAACGATAATTACTAAGTCCTAAATCTCGATCAATATCATCATCGTCAGCATCCCAAGCTCTTTCAACAACGATTGATTCCCTTAGATCTGCCTTCTCCGGCATCAACTGTAGGGTAACTAAACCCTTATTTTCATCGTTATCTTCTTTAGCTTCATCCAAGACTTGTTTCTTCCTATTATTTTTCTTAAAAAACCGAACGTACTTTCTCTTTGTTCTCTTGCTGGTAACAACCAAGTTTTTCCTATTAAGCATGAACTCACCGGAAGCTGAGACTCCAGCCACTGGTTTTGGAGCAATCGGACGGAATCTGAGCATTATCCGGTTGAATATCGTCTTATCGTGTGCACCACCAGAGCATTTTAGCGTGATCCAGTGATCTCCTCCCTCCATATCTCGTTTTTCGGAGCGAAAAAAGGGTAGAAAGCCCCAACAAACACCTCTGCCTTCTTAGGGTTTTTTTATTTTATCATTCAGATTTTTTTTATTTCTTAGTATGGTTAACCGGAGAATAATGAAGCGATAATCATAGCGGCAACACCTTTAATATATAATTAAAAAAATCGTTATCTGTTATTATTTAAATAATAATATTTGTAAAAAATATATATAAAATATTATTATTTTTATTTAAAATATTAATATTTTTTTAAATATTTTTAATAAAGTATAAAATAATAACAAAATACATTAAAATAATAATAAAATTGATAAAACCTTAAATAATAATAAAATTGATAAAAATAATATTTTTAATAAATTTTTATTGATTTTATTATTTAAATAATAATAAAATTAAAAACGTTTTATTTAGTCGTATATTGAGATTATTGTACATATTTAATATCGATGAGACACACATGTCGTTATCTGGAGCAGCGACACCATAAACAAGGGCGACGCTCGATTGGCTAACTGGACAGCGTTTTTGCAGCTTCTGATTGGCAGATACGTGTCATTAATCCCGTAAAAGTAGGTAACACGTATCGATATATCGACAAATCGCATAAATGTTTACTTTTTGAGTGAAGCAGCTTCCAATATTTTTTGGCCATTTTGTTAAAATTTTCATAGCCATTGGGAGATCTCTTCCCACCTTATGTCAACACGTGGTACGTTCATACTTGTTTACTAAAGAGTAAGGTTAGTGTGCAAACCATCATTGTATACTCGCACTGAAACGCGTGAATCCCAAAAAAGTTTGTATCAAATAATGATACGTAAAATCTGACATAGATCATAAATTTATAATATACAAAATATGCATGTTCTTTAAATGTTAGACAGTTAAATTTCTCAAATATTTTAGAATTATTTTTAAAAGTTAAATTATTATATTATATAAATAAAAATACGATTTTATATTAAAATTCATACATAATTTTTTACGATCATTAATTTTTATGCACTTTACCCTTAATATTTCATTTTCATATAAAATAATATTTTATTTATGAAAATCATTAATTTACTTACAATTAATATTTATTGGTCGTATGATATTTTCACACGTACTTTACTCCTATTGTGAATAATTTAAGCTATGACAAAACATATATTATGTTTGTTTAAGTGTTGACGTAACGTATGTTACATGTGTTTAAACGACACTATAAGAGTCGACATATAGTATAAGAGTCAACATATAGTCCATAACTATTGTAAAAAGACTCTGAATTTTCCTATTAGTGGAAAATTTAAATTTGGGAGGATATAAAGAGGGCACTTTTTTACACACCTACATTCTTCAAACCTTAATTTTTTATAGCCTATTTTTATATTTTTTTTCCAGCCATTGACCATGCAAGCGTAAAATCCTTAGGGAAAACATCATTTGGACGTTGAGCAGTTGCAACCGTAAAAGCGGTGGCCGATGATTGATTGAACTTCATCTTAGCAACGTGAATTCGAACCCGAGAAGAAGGAAAACTCTATTTTGTTTAATTATAATATTTTATTTTATTTGGATGGGATGTTAAACTTTGATATTATGTTTTGAATATGTTTGATGAAATGCGTGTTTATTTAGTTTTGCATTTGTATCATTGATGGTGTTGCTTGAGTTTTATTTCTGGTTTGTTTGTAAAGATATAAATCGTACAGTTATGTGTCAAGGGATGAGTTACATCGTGAGTAGCATAAGTGTTTGTGAGAGCAATTTAGAATAAAAGAGATTTTGTTGATTGTTTTGTCATAACATTCTTAGTAAGCTTATTTGGTTTGCTATAGACATATAGTCTTTCTTTTTAAGTTGCTTGGTAAATACCTTTAAAAGAGGAGTAATTTGCTAGGGTTAATGCTAGACACATCAATCTTGTTGCTGAAGCATTGTTGATTATATGTTGTTGTTTGACATTTCACAATCTTTTACCTAAATTTATCATTGTTTCATTTACTTATGTTGTAATCCATTTCATCTTTATTTTGTTTTTGATTTCATTATCACACATTTTCATCGCAACAGTTATATACAATTCAATGTTTTGTAGTATAACAATTCCTTAAAGCAGTAACTAATCCACCTGGATATGATACTCGATGCACCAGTTACCTCCACTATTATTACTTGTCAATGATAGTGTACGCTTGCACCGAATGCTATAACATTATTCGAAGAATCAAGTATAAATGTGATACATATCACATATGTTTAAATATAGTGTTGTCACAAAATATCTCATGTGTATTTGAATATTGATGTGATATATACTACATTACTGAGTAAGTGCATGTAGAAATATCAAATTAGTAATAAACTTTAATCATTAGTCAACTAATGGTTTCTATCATAAAGATTATTATTTTAACAAAAATTAAAACTTTAAATTGCTTTAAAAAAAATAAAGGCCAAATTCACTCTTAGACAAACGTTATGAGTGAATTAAATGTTTATTTTCTAAGCAATGAAATTTACTCTCTCTCCTATTTTACACACCGTACTTTTAATTTTCTAATTTATTCACTGAACTTTCGAATTGCTCCTGTTTTGGTCACTGTAAATTATTTTATTATTATTATTATTATATGACGTGACATTTTTAATTATTATTAAAATATAAAAATAATTTAAAATAAACAATAAAATAATATTTTTACTTTTCCACCATCTACAACATCACCGTCGCCCCTTCTCATCATTGTCGATCACCGTCGACCTTCGGTACCGATAAATGTTTGATCCCAAATTTACTAAGAGACTTGCTTTGACACAATGAGTACGAATCTAGTGGTTGTTTCACCAAAAAAATTCTCAAAACCCGTGAATCTCAACTGAAACATTTTAATTTTCTTACTTTTGATCTACTATTTGTGGACATCGAAGCATGTTCCGAAAAATGAATGTTAGATTAGGACTCAGGTGGTCGAGGTGAAGCGGCCCATGAAATTTGGGACCGAACAACCGCCATCTAAGGAAGTCAACGACAACTGACGTTTTAGTTTTCTTACTTTTGATGGGATTCAGAGCATGTTCTGACAAAATGAAGGTCAGATTCAAACTCAGGATTTGAGACGAAACGATCAGTGAAATATGGGTCCAAACGACCACCATCTACTGCTATCGACGGTGGCGTCCAACGTTGACGAATAGTGGATAATCACCATCTATTTTTATTTTATATTATTTTTATATTAAATAATAATAATAAAAAATGTCATATCATACCAAAATAATTATAAAATACTTTAGCATGACCAAAACTATAGCAATGCGAAAGTTCATTGAGTAAATTAAAAAATTGAAAGTACATAGAATGAAATAGTAGATAAAGTAAAATTGAACGAGGAATAGTTTAATTTACCCTTGTTAAAATTTACAGAGCTTTAGGGAGATCTCTTTTCCGACCATATCAACACGTGCTGCATTGTTTTTACTAAAGAGTATGTTAAGTGACAATTTTACGAGAATCCAAAAATATTAAAAAGAGTACATTTGATTTTTTTTTTTAGAAAATGAATAATGTGTTGGAAACGTCTTTCTCTAACACTACTCCTAAAATTGAAATTGAATTGTATACTAGCTTAGCGTTATTGAAAAGTAGAATCACGGGTTTCAAAATTAGGATTTAGGCTTTTTTAATGATTAAATTTAAAAGAAATTGGGTAAAATTTAATTTACTTGTTTGAAAATTTATTTTGGTACTTGTTTAGTCCTTAAACATGTTATGGACTCCCAAATTAACCCCTATTTTTATTCCTTTTTCATAACTCAGTGTAGTTATATATAAAGTATTTAATGTTATATAATATAAAATTATTATGTGGTGTTTAATATGAAATAAAAAATTTAAGTACAATAAATATAGTGAATTAAGCAATTATGCTTCTAGTAAAGATTATTAATATAAAATAAAATGCAATTAAATTTTATAAAATTAAGTTTAGGGTTTTTATGCTAGGGTGTGGGTTTAGGATATTTAGCGTTAGAGTGATGATTTTTATATATTGAATATGTTGGAAAATAGTTTATATTTAGGATTTAGTTATAACTTGGATTTCTTAAGGTTTTTGTAAAATTAGAATTTATTGTGTGAATTACATGTTTTTTTATACAAAAAAGTTTTGGTCAGGGGTGACACCCCCGATCTAAGGTCAAAGCATACGTAAGACCTAATTGAGATTTACATAGGAATTTATAAAATGTCCAACAAGAGTGAGAGTGGTAGGATTTCAATTTGACCTTACATGCTCAAATTCCCGAATACCAACCACTTGTGACAACACTCGTTGGCGTGTGAATTACATGTTAAGTATAGATAATTTTATTTTTTTCTTTTAATAATTAAAATATTTTATTCAATCTAAAATGATTTTATTTATTTCTATAATTTATAATTTAATATTAAATATAAATTAAACAATGTTATATATATTATATGTAATATGAAATAAAATAATAAAACCATTATAGTATTTTATAGAAACTTAAAATTTAATAATAAATAAATAAAAAATTTAATAAAAAAACTAAAGTAAAGTAAATAAAATCTAAGCATTATATAAGTGGATTTAGAAATTTAATAAAAAAACTAAAGTAAAGTAAATAAAATCTAAAGTAGGGGATGGTAGAATACAGTGGATATAGTGGTTAATATCTTATAGTGAGAGTTATATAAGCAATGGTGAAAGCCACGCAGAGGAGTGAGAGTGTGGTTAGGTAATAACTGCTTGAGCTGGATTATGGTTCGGGAATGAGTGGTGAATGGTCTGATGTGAGGGCGGCTCTTTCGATAGATTTTTGATGTGACGTGGAAGAATCATTTGATGGAAATAAGGAGATCGATGGGTCCACGTGTCCCATATTGTAGCAGCGGTGTCGTGCAACGAAACCATGAGAGTGACCAAAGGGTAAAACTACACTGCCCTAAATATTGGGTTTACTTTCTACATTAATTTAGTTTATTCTTTATTAATTTTCTTTTCAATTTTCGTAATTTATTCTTTATTAATTTTCTTTTCAATTTTCGTATAAAATACACTACTGGTCACCATATTATTACCTCTATTATTTGGGTCACCATACTATTTTTCTTTGGTCACTAACACTATTTTCCCTTAGTTGTTCACTTGTTAATTTTTGTCGTTAGTTTGATAAAAATAATGGCATGATTTAATATAATGATAATTTTAATTTATACATTCTATTAATTTCATCTCAATTTAAATAATTTAGCAAATCTTTAATTTTTAAAAATTTATTAATTTGACCCTCATTTTAATTTAAAATAATTTTAAAAATTAATTAGATGGTAAAAAAATGAAAAAAGTTATTAGTAAAAGTCAAAGTTGAGATCTTAGATTCTATCAGCGATGAACCACCAAGCAAGCTCAATAATATGCTATTTTTTAATAGTAAAAATTGATTATAAGATAGTATATGTTCAATTTTTTTACAATTAATAATGCACCTTCACCCACAGACATAATCAGGGGCAAACATAAAAATTTACGTCGGTGGTACAAACTTAAGAAGTTATGTTAAAAATTTTAGGGGGTGTAAAATTATAAAATTATAAGGAGTGCGAAATTAGAAAATCAATAGAAAATATAAAAAAATATTTAGGAGAATTTAAAATTTCTATAGAGTGCAACCGCACCCTTGATCCATCCTAAACGCAGTTACTTGAACTTAAAACTTCTAAGGAAAGACTCCTTTTAACCTGTGTATAAAACATTCTCTAAGAAATTTCACAACTTTTTTTTTAAATATAGGATCAACTGAAAACTCCTAACGAACTTATAAAAAAATCTAATGAAGTGGCAGAATAATTCTAGTACTTAATAATGGCAATATCAAAGACTTTTGTCCCAAATAGGAAAATGTAATATTATTATAGGAAACAGATAAGAATACTGAAAGCCAATTGATTAGGGAATGTATAAAAAACAAAGAGAAGGTTTTGAATTCCCCCCCAAGTATTTGTACTAAAACTTTCATTTTTATCATTCCATCAAGCAAATAATTAGACAAGAAAAGATGAATTGTTCTTGACCAAGAAAAATGATCATGCATCATCAAGATTACTTCTAGTTTTTGGCCTTGATTGAATTGTTTTCTTTTACCCGTGCTCGGTTGTCCATCTTGACGAAGCGTTTAAGATCTTCGTATGGGAGTGTTTCAATGTTTTTCCTCCTTAGCTCGCTCAATGCCGGACGTTTCTCGAGCAGATGCCATAGCCAATCAGGGTACTCTGAATCGGGCATGATCTTTGGATCAGCTCCATCCTTGAGAATATTTGCACCAACTACTGTTGTTGACTTGACTTCTTTGCTCAGTATTGATGCTTTCGGCGCATCGCTGGCTGCCCCTTTAGAACCCTTCTTGGCTTTGCCAGGCGCAGCAGCAAATGTTCGTTGTCCGAGAGAAACCGCCTCCTTGGCACTTCTCCATAAGCCACATCGTGTTAGTGCCATGGCTATATCCCTATAAAATTTATGTCAGTACCCACATAATTGTATAAATATCTAAAGAAACCAGAATATAAATAAGCATCAAAACTAATATTCACATAACCTATGCTACTTGAACTCGAGTGTGACCGTTCGAGCACAGGCATATTTAATTCTTTTTCCCCAAGTTTTTTCATTTATATCAAGCGTTTTTAGCATTATCATATCCTCATACTCATATCCACGTCAGGCTAAGATATTGAACACAAATGTCAAATACTACAAGAAAAATGAAGAGTTGGAGTAATATAGCACAAAACAAGAGATCTAAAGCATCGAGCTTTTATGAGATGCTGCCTATTGAACCGAATTAAGTGTTGTGGAATCACGTAAGAGCATTTGTACCCCTGAAAAAAATCTCTCTATTCCTTTCCCTCCCAAAATGCCAAAAATCTATACAAGAATCACTCAATCATAATTCATAGATACGATAAGTATGTATGTCCTCTTTTTAATTTTTATTTTTTCCTATCAACTATCAATTTATGATTATGGTAAAAAAATCTTGGATCCTCTAAACCGTTATACGGGAATATGTTCAATCACCTGCGTTAGACTTTATTTTCCTTGATGTACTCATCTCGACATTTAATCAGATATGGACACGGAGATATAACCTCCAAAGAGACATGTAATTTAGACCGGCATTCATACGTGATCCTAGCACCATAGACCACCACAATAGTCGAAACACTTTTTTAGGATCCAATTATTACTCCAAACAATTCATTTTACCCATACTCAAGTTAAACACAAAGTATACAGGTTAGATTACCCTCCAAAAATATCGGAAAAACTTGTAAAGGTCGTAATCATGTTGGTTACGAAAATGCGTTTGATGCATTTACCTGGCTCAAAATATGGATAAGATCCATAGGATAGACATCAGACTACAACTGTTACTTCAACATTTTGAATTTTGAGCAAATAAGTTTCTCAATAAATTTTGTATCCTAAAACCTGAGGGGAAATTTGCACTAATGTAATAAAAGATTCGAGATGGCAGAATTAAAAAAAAGGATGTTAGATCGAGTTTTCCTCAGTAGATAAAGACTTAAGAGTGCCTGAATACAATTTTCCTGTCAAACATGCTCAAGAAGATGAAAACTATACGCAGAAATGACAGCCATGAAATTTTTTACAATCCATCGTATCCTATCAGAGATCCTTTGTAGCATGAAAGTAGTCATATGCAGCGCCCACGATAATACTATTAACATCCTATGTTTCTCCTCTTCATTTTTCTTTAAGTACTACTCGTGCCTAATATGTTTCCGACATACATCCGGACATGAGTATAATGATATATGAATCCTCAAAATACACGAAAAACTTCGAAAGGAATTGAACATACCCATATCCGAAACTCACATCCCAAGTCTGAGTAATATAGTTAAGAAAGTCCATTCAAGCAAATTCATTGTATTGGCATCTAAATCTGATTATGCAAATGTTAGATACTCCACAGTGCATACTATTTCTTATGTATCTTCATCATTCAATCAAACTCCAAGCACTTTTAAGCTACTTAAAGCAATTTGCTAGCTTCAAATTAAATCTTTACTGTTGAACATCCAAGCTAATTTATACGAAGTTCACAAAACATAATAAATCAAACAAGCATTCATTCTACAGAACATCCAATCAATCTTAATTGTGTTTCGGCTGTTTATCAGTAACTAGAAGAGGCAAAGTTGAAGAGAAATAAGCTAAAGAAGTTACCTTTCCCTGAAAAACTCGTAAAGTTCAAATCTTTCCCGGATTCAAGTTTAGTGATTTAGGGTTTATATGGCAAAAACGGAAATGAGAGAAATTAAAGAGGAAGATGAAGAGCGGTTTTCTTTCGACTGGACCGGAGTTTTAACGGACCTATGGGTCAATACAAGAGTGGACCACTGTGATATTTTGGGCTGAGTACTCTGATCATTCTACGAATCTGGTGAGAGAAAAAGGTAAGGGTAAATTACGACCTTAGCTCCTTTTATTTTCAATCTATCTTAATTTTGTTACCATTCTCGGAGACATTTATTTCATGGTCATTTTATTTTTAATGTGTCTTATTTTAGTCACTGGGATGTTAATGACGTGAGTTGTGACATATTAGTAAAAAAATTAAATTTTAACATGATACTTAAATTTTAGATAGAATATTAATTTAACCCTAAACTTTAAATAAAATATCAATTTAACTCATGAATTTGAGATAAAATATCAATTTGAGCTCTGAATCCATTTAACATCACCATCGCATTTCACTGTCAGTCACCACAATTGTTCACTGCTTTCCACCTTCGAAGATGATCGTTGAAATCCAAAATTATTAGTTCATTCATTTTTTTTTATCTCATGAACGTAGATATAATATTTGTATCACTAAAAATACCTCAAACTTCACAAGCATAGTCTAAAACTCTTCAATTTTTTTTTAAAAATAAACTATTATAATAAATTCATCATTATATTCCTTTATAAATAATCACATCAAAAATCTAAATTTATATTATCATACATTTATATAAATTTTGATATACGCCTATTCCCATATTCTGGACTATGTTAATACCGCATATAACTAAGCATTTGGAAGCATGTCTATTGTGTTGCTTCTGTTTTGGTAGGTTATTGTGTGAGGAATAATAGGATAATATATTCACATTAACAATTATTGGATTGTGATTTGTGACCTTATACATGACTATTTTGCGGTTGGAAAGAATATAAATTCCATAAAGATTTATTTGGTAGGTAATCTCATTTTATTTTTAATAAAAAAAGAAACATTAAACCAAATTGAAAATAGACAACAAATAAAAAATCAAGCTATTTGCATCTTTGCAACTTTTTTATTGCATATATAGACAAATTTATATATTGATAATTATTTTTAATCTTTTATTTGTTACATTATTGATACCATACAAATATTCTGTAAATGGAAATATATATTAATTTATTCCCATAGACAATCCCAAAGGTGCCATCCTAAGTATAAATTCGAGCGTTATATGCTAACATTAACCAGACAATATTTTTCGAAGTCTTTAATTTTTTGTTTTGTATACATAAACATAATGATGAGCTCAGGAACACAGGCTAAGCTTCCTGTTATAGATTTCTCAAACCAAAACCTGAAACCAGGCAGCCCTGAATGGGATTTGGTGAAGTTCCAAGTCTGTGAAGCGTTGGAGGAGTACGGTTGTTTCGAGGCTTCGTTCGACCAATTCTTCAAGCTTCAAAACGCCGTATTTGGAGCCATGGAAGAGATCTTCGACTTGCCTTTAGAAACAAAAAAGCTCTATGTTTCTGACAAGCTCTTCCGCGGCTACTTTGTGTCTCCATCAGGATTGCTTGAAATCATGACGATTGATGAAGCACAGAGTGCTGAAAACATCGAACAACGCCTGACTACCACCTTGTGGCCTCAAGGGAACTTAAGCTTCAGGTTCACAACAATAACTCTTTCGATTTACCATTTTTTCAATAGTCTAAGATGATCACAAAGTAGTATCTATTTAGATGTTTTCTTAGCTTATTGACAATGCACACATTCTCTTACAAATTCATTTGTCCGAACTTAAGCCTCTAGAAATAACAACACCTATTTTTTTAAAATTAAAAATAGTTTGGTTATATTAATTAATTGTTGTTTATTTTGCAGTAAAACTCTGGTGTCTTTCACTGAACTGGCATCAAGATTAGAAAAGACAATTAGGAGGATGATTTTGGAGATTTTTGGTGTGGAGAAGTACATAGATGAACTCATTGACTCCACAAATTACATTCTAAAGCTCAAGAAAAATGAAGGGCCACAAACCAGCGAGCCAACCCCAAATATGGTGACCTTATGGTATCAAAACGAGGTTGATGGTTTGGAGATTCAAAAGAAAGACGGAGACTGGATCAACGTAAAATCCTCATCCAACTCTTTCATAGTCATGATTGGAGAGTCCCTCCACGTAAGTCACTTACTTACACATGCTCCGTACAACGATGGATCCAAAAATAATATCAAGATAGACATCATTAGTAAAATGAACAATTAACATAAAGTATCCATTCTGAAACACACTTGCATCTGCCGCTTACTCCACAATATTTGTTTAAAATGAAAAGATTTAAACATAATTTTATTGCAGGTATGGTTAAATGGTGGATTATCTGCTACTTATCACCGTGTAATGAAGAAGGGGAACAAGGCAAGATACAGCGTGGGATTATGTGCGACTCCGAGAGGAGGCTACCAAGTAAAGGCTCCAGAAGAACTGGTGGATGACAAAAATCCCGCACTCTTTAAACCCTTTGATTATGAAGAATTTTTGGGATTTTACTTGGCCCAGGTCATTGCTGGTGATGCCAAACATGATCTTAAAGGTTATTGCAGTGTCTAGGATTTCTGCATAAATAATGTTTTATATGTAATGTAAAATGTCTTATCAAGCTCTTGGTCTTTCTATATGTATATTTGGAAGAACTTTGTGCTATGCATAACAACATAGGAACTTTGGGCTATGTATTATGTTTTAGATATTTATTAAGTTGATCTTACCCACCAAGTTTTACACCCAAGGAATAATCATTTTGTTTCCATCTTCTACAACCATCCAAAACTCCATTGATGAACACACTAAACCCTAAGAGAATATTTTAAAAAAAAAGTCTTGGTGCATGTCTAAATTGAAGGAAGATTTAGAAAGTTCATAAATTAAATTTAGAGTCTCACTTTAATTTGAAGTTAAATCGAAAAGTTCAAATTTATTAAGTGAGTGTAATCAATTTTATATTTAATTATTTTCATGCTATGTTGTGAGATGTGTCTATATAGGGTTTGTTAATTATGAATTCAGATTGTCTAAATAAAAAATTGAAAAATCGAATTAAATAACCAAAAATGATATATTTATTTGATAAATGAGTTTTGAGTGAATTATAGTTGTCAATGATATTTTATTTGTATGGAAGTTATTTCTAAGAAGTGCATAATTATGTTAAAATTATCATGATATTTGTAATTTATGTAAATATGATCGTGAATAACATAAATGGATGCATTATGTTACAAATGTAAAGTTAAACTAATGTTATTGAAATCGAAAGTTATGGCTAAAAAAGTACAAAATATAAAATTAATAGCATCGAAAGGTAAACCAAAGTTATGTGTAGTGAATCTTAAAACTAATTGTAATCAAAGTGTATAATGCATATTAATATCTTAATCGTTTATATTAGGGTAAACTATACAAATGATCATTAAAGTTTGTGTAATTTTTTTCTCCACTGAAGTTTTAAAAGTAATTCACTAACATTATTAATTTATAATAAATTGCTCATTAATATTATAGATTTATAATAAATATTCCACTTACTATTAACAACCATTAATTAGATAGACAGAATGCTGCATGCTCAACCACGTTACTGCCGTTTGACTATTCTCTATTTTGACCGAATCTTATGAATATTGTAGTAGTTATACCTACTCCTTTGAGCCAATCTCTCTAATATTGGCACGCATCTGTCGGTGGCAAGCTCTTGTGCCGAAACCCAGAAACAGAGTGGAAGATGATGCAGATTCTCCTCATCTTATTATTCATTTCGTCTTCCCCAAAAGTCATCTGATGCACCCGAGAAGACGACGACGAGCACGGTTTCATGAGAAGCCTCGACCCAAAGCTGTTGAGCTTAAAGGAAGAAAAGCTAAGCCATTTCTGTAATTATCGGCACGATATCGTGAGCGGTAATAATGCTGAGCTATTTTGAAGAACGAAATTGGATGGTTCGACAACCTAAACAACTCAAGTTCCATGCTTGCATCGCGTGTAGAGACTGATGCAACGTTTTTAAAAGTTGTAGCTGTCGACTGATCATCAATTCTCATTTAGAATTTAGGTTTGGTCACTGCGCCTTTACCATTGTATTCATCTTAAACTATAGAATCAAACTTGTTATCATGGCACTCTTCCCATTGATCACATTAGCGAGGTTTGCACCATTCCCAACATTAATTTAAATAAACTCAAAAGTTTTAGATAGGAATCTAGTGATATTCTTACTATCATTCAGAAACTATTCATGCAAGGCTATGGAGTTAACTTGAGCAAAACATATCTAAAAACAAACATGATTGTCAGTGAGTCTGTCAACAATATTCAAATTGTTGCTGCATTTTTTGCTGAAGATAAGATCATTGATCTTTACCCCTATGAGCTGGTAGATCCTTCAAAACGTTCGTTTAACCATGGTCAAATTGCCTCTACTTCAAACACATCGGCGACAGGGTTCAGAATAATCAATGTGATCGATGATCCATTAACGCAAGGGCCGGGTAAGCTCGAAACTAGTGGAGAGGTGCTTTAGTAATTAATTGAAATTAGTAAGAACAAAAACTCTTATTTAGAAATACAATGCAAATAAATTTGATAACGTAAATAATTTATAAACGAAATCATGTAAATAACTTTTCTCATTATTGAATTGGTATAATTTTGTTTTCCTGTATGAGCTTCACAAGTCGATATGAACAAGCACAAAGAGTCGTAAACCTAGACTATTTATCGAAAAAGCTTCGCCATAATATACATGTTGATTGTTGCACTCTTTCATAAAAATTACAGTAAAGTATACCTTACGATGCACAATGATTTTATTAACAACAAATAGAATAAAAGATTAAAAATATTTATTTATTCACATTAACTCAATACAAGTAATTTTATTAACATTGAATATAGGGTTAAAAGTTTATAAGTGATGTAGATTAGAAACAAAAGTTGTTTTGCATGGTAAAATTTTATAAGTAGTACAAGATCTGCTACAATCAAAACAATGATAAAAGTGTGAGGCCTGTATAGTACAGGTGAATCTTTGATAGTGAGACCGTGAAAGACAAGAGCAAGTCCATTCAGACCTTCTTGATGCAAATCTTTGAGGTACTCTTCCCAATCATCGTGGTTTCTTATCTAAGATAGTTGTCCCCTGCTGAAAATGATTGATGCTAGCATTATTTGGGATCATTTTGAAAGGATATAATTATATCACAGTTGGTTCTGAATTGAACTTTTTCTTTGGATCATTACTTGTAGACACCTAGATCATCTCCAGCGCATCACCAGAGTAGATCACCAGAGTAGAGAAAATCTCTACTTTGGAGATGAATTTCAACTTCAGCCCATCTCCACTTTCAACGCTAGAGTAGAGAAAAGTTACACTGATACACTACATCTAGAATTACACTGTAGCTGCGCTACATATTATTATTTTTTGTTATTTTTATGATTTTTGGTTTTTTTTTTACTTTCTTTTGTTATTTTCTTTTTCTTTTCTTTATTACATTATTTTCTCTTATCTACTTTTTATGTTTTTTATTGTAATTTTTACACAATAAAATAAAATAAAAATTAAATATAATATAATAAATTCAAGTAGATTAAATTGCAAGATAGATAAAAATACATTGAAATTAAATAAATAAACATACTAATAGTTAAATATTGTGAATAAAGTAGAGTTGGTGGTAATGTAGAGATAATACTGGAGATGAATTACTGTTTCATCTTTAGAGTAGAGATAGAAATGTTGTAGAGTAGAGATGAGGGTTGGAGATGACCTTAGGGAGTAGAGTTAGAGGTTATATCAGTGAAAATTCCATATTTTAGATTGAATAATTTGAAACTTTTGGATTGTTTAATTGCAGTTTTGTAAGGCTTCGTTTAATTCTTAGGGTGCAATTTAGGATCAATGCCTTGTTCTTCACACTTTGCTCTTTTTCTTATGTTAAACAAATAGAAATATGGAAACACTGACATTGAAGGGGTCGACTCAAGTAATGCATGCTAGGGAGGGACTGCAGCTCTATTCAATAGAAATCTACTTAGAAGAAAAACAAAATTAGATTAGATAACTCCCATGCAAACATTAACTTAATAGAAATCTACACTTGTAAAAAATTTGTACATTCAAAGACAAAGAGAAAAATATCCAACCAACAAATCTGTCTCCTCCCTATATAACCGAACCATCAAGACTCCAAATCGCACAAATCATTTTATTAACAGACCCCAAGCTTGCACAATTCATTATTTTTTGTAATCAAAATATTAAAAATATATGTATTTCATTAGGTTTTTTGTTCAGAATAAGTTTTGGTTTCATCGTTACATTCTTTGTCTATTTACGGCCAATTTTTTTTATAGAAATAAAAGTAACCTAAATCAAAAAGTTTTTAATCCAAGTAAAACCAACCTATCAAACGACCATTAATCGAAACAAAAGCAAAAGGTTACAGGAAGAAACAAAGTAAAAGCAAAAGGTTACCCGAAGAAACAAAGTTTTATTAATTGGAAAGGAAGAGGAATATAGGAGAAGATAATTCTTTTGGAGAAAAAGATCGGAGAAGAAAATTGAATTTTCTTTCTAGCCAACGGCTAGAGGAAGAGAAAGTAAAGCGTAATATTATATTTCATTTATTTTAGGGGTATTTCTATTCAAACCGACATCAATTGTTAAATACCTAAGATATGTATGGGAATGGAAGAAAGTATTGTAGGCAATGTTTCAGTATTCCTTGGTGGGAATTCTTTTGAACAAAATATGAGAATGTGATTCTGGAAAAGATTACTCCTCTTGATAATAATCTTTTCCTTGATTCAAATGTTCTCTTAAAAAAAATAACACTCTCTTTAATCACTATGATCACTTGGTGAGTTCAATTAAAAATTATATTAATAATAGATCAAATACACAATAACTTGAAGTCTCAATTACATTAAATATTGCATATAAGTACTAGGAATTGGTCACAACTCACAACTATTTTAATTTAAATAAAATTATTCGATTGTAAATTTAAATTGATATATATATATATATATTACCTCATATAACTAAGTAGTAGGAAGTAGTCACGACTCATAACAATTTTAATTTAAATAAAATTGTTTGATTGTGATTTGTGATAGAATTCAAATTGATATATATATATATATAAATATCTCGTACCTATTTTACATCATATAACTAAATATTAGGAGATGGTCCAGATTGTTGTGGTAGGTTTTTTCTTGTATGGTGTAGGTGCTATTGCATTTACTATGATGAACTCCTGTTATTGTAAGTTTTCATGATTAATGTTAGGAATTTAGAAATAGAAAAATAACCCAAATTAGATTAAATAAATCAACCTATTTAATTATTATATTTAGAAATTATTATATAAATATAAAAGGATAAAAATATTCATTATACCTTATAAAAATGAATATTTTAATTATGTTTACACTCGTAATACTAATTCAATTATATAGATAAAAACATAATTGCTTATGTGTGAGCTGCATATAACAAAGTATTAGGAGGTGGTCCAGGTTGTTGTGGTAGGTCTTTTGTGTGGGGCTATGAGCAAACCATGTTATTGTATTTGTTAGTGATTTGTGACTTTATACAATGTTGTTTTCTTACAAAGAATCTTTGTACATCGGCAAGATTTATTTGATAGATACTATTGTTTTATTTTACGACTATTGTTAAATCAAAATTAAATAAAAAACAATGAAGCAGAGCTTAATTGAAATTTTACGCTTTTATTATTATTATTATTTCGGAAGTGGTCACAACTATTAATATAAACAAAATTATTTGATGTACATGGAAGTGGTCACAACTTTTAATCTAAACAAAATTATTTGATTTGTTTTTGTGACCTTATACATGACTGTGTTCTAGTTTTCAGGAATCTTTGTAAATTAATTCGGTTGATTTATTTCGTAGGATACTATTGTTTATTTTTATGTGCTTTTATTTATTTATTTAATAAAACTTGAAAAGAAAAGGTTAAATTAAACTGAAAATAGAGGATAAATTTAAATTATAAAAAAATCAAGCAAGGTTAATTAGAAGATTATATAAATATATATTATTGTTTATGTCTATTATGTGTTTTTATCAGTGTTGTTTTACGCTAACCTTTTCTTAATCTTTTTCTCTTTTCCATCTATTTTTTTTAGTATAACCACCGGTTTTCGATTTATTCTGATCGGATATTACAGAGGAAAAGACGACCCTCCTAACCCAGTGTTATTTTTATTATATTTGATATTTTGTGTTATTTCATTTTAATAACTCTTCTTCTTTTCTAATGAATATAGTTAATGTTTCTTTTATGTTCTTATAATTTGTTTTCTCTATTCTTTTTCTCGATGTTAAATTTGATGTGGTGTTGGTTTATCAATTTTTTTGGACCCGAGCTAGTTCTCTTTAGTTCTCTTATATTGATAGGTAATCACAATCACCAAAGATAAGTCACAATTGAGTTATAATAACATCAATTTGTCAACGGCAATCATTGTTATGTGCATTTGTATGTTTGTATTGATGGTCTTTATCTTTCATCATCGACAATGATGTTGGAATGGATTTTTAACAACTTTTTTTATATGGTCCTATTTTATATTTTAGTGACTAATTTGAGCACTCTTATTATTTTAGGAGAAATGGCCAAGATGTGATTAATTTGTTCCAGTGTTTGGAGACCCTTTCTATGATTCTGTTGAATTTCCCCTTATTCAATAAAACTAATGATTATTATTAATTTAAAATTTCATTCGTACTTTTAAATTTAATAAGATATATTAATATAATATAAATTAAAAACAAAATTTCTTAAGTTTGAGCTACATTAATATTACACATAAGTGCTAAGAGGTGGTCACAACTATTAATCTAATCAAAATTAATTGATCGGCATAAGTATGTACTGGGAAGTGGTCACAACTACTAATCTAAACAAATTATTTGGTTGTGATTTATGACCTTGTACTGTTATACACGACTATTTTCTAGCTGCAGTGAATCGTTATGAATTAATTCAGAAGATTTATTTGGTAGGATATTATTGTTCAATATTACGTGTTTTAATCAATAGATGTTAGTTCGAGCGGTAAGCAATTTGATATCACTTAAGTAGGTTTCGAATTTGAGTCATTGTGTACGCAGAAAATCCCTTCTAGGTGTGTCACTCGAGTCTGTGCTGATTAGTTAGGACGAAACCTTGAGAATCGGGAGGGCAACAAAAAAAAATATTAAGTGTTTTATTTTTTTTAATAAAATCTGAAAATAACAATATTAAATTGAAATCACGAACATATTAAAATAATAATAAAAATCAATCATAGGTCAATTAAAAGCTTTTATTAAATATATTATTGCTTTTGTCTATTATAGTGCATATAACTATCTGCATTAGGAGGTGGTCCAGACTGTCGGAGTTGGTTTTTTCTTGTATTGTGTATGTGCTTTTGCATCTGCTACGATGAACTAGCGTAATATTTTATATTAGAATTATGAATTTAGGTATTTATATTAAAAATATAAGGATGTGAAATTATAAAATTTTATGGATGTAAAATTAGATTATTAATATAAAATAAAATAAAACATTTAAATTATATAAAAATGAATGTACCCTAAAACATCTTGATCCATCCAAGCTTATTATGATTTTGGATAGGAGTATTCTGAAAGTTGGATGACTAAGAATATATTCTCTAATTATACAAGCTTACAGAGTAATATGCCAAATTTCAATGGTAAATGCAAAAGTTACTATAATAAATCCCAAAGCTGCCATCCGAGTATAAATTCAAGCATTGATCAGGCAAAAGTTTTCAAAGTCTCCCATTAATTGTTTTGGATACATAAACAAAATGATGAGCTCAGGATCAGAGGCTAAGCTTCCGGTTATAGATTTCTCAACCCAAACCTGAAACCAGGCAGCCCTGGATGGGATTTGGTGAAACACCAAGTCCGTGAAGCATTGGAGGAGTACAGTTGTTTCGAAGCTTCGTTCGACAATGTCGTCGAGCTTCGAAACTCTGTAATGGTAGCCTTGAAAGAGGCCTTTGACTTGCCTTCAAAACAAAAAGGCTCTATGTTTCGGACAAGCACTTTTATGGGTATTTCGAGTCTTCAACAGGATTGCTCGAAAGTCTAATGGTTGGTGAAGCACAGGTTGCTGAAAGCATCGAACAAGGCCTCACTACCACCTTGTGGCCTCAAGGAAACATAAGCTTTAGGTTCATCATAATAACTCTTTTGGTCTTCCTTTTTTCCAATTAAAATATACTAATCAATTGGTGTTTTTTTTTACAGTAAAACTCTGGTCTCTTTCACGGAGGTTTCTTTAAGATTAGAGAAGACAATTAGGAGGATGATCTTGGAGATTTTCGGTGTTCACAAGTACGCCGATGAGCTCGACGACAACACGAATTACATGCTGAAGCTCATGAAGTATAATGTGCCGCCGAACGGCGAGCCGACCAGCGGGGTGTTTGCTCACCGCGACAAGAATATGGTGACCCTATTGTATCAAAACGAGATTGATGGATTGCAGATTGAAAACAAAGATGGTGAATGGATGAATGTAAAACCCTCACCCAACTCTTTCATAGTTATGGTGGGAGACTCACTCAACGTAAGTCACTTATAACACATGTTGTTCTATTGTTTAAAGGCCATGGCTTGATTTATCAGATTGATATTATTACAGGCATTGTTAAATGGAGGAGTGTCTCCTACATGTCATCATGTGTTGATGAAGGGGAACAAGGCAAGGTACGGTTTGGGATTGTTTTCAGGCACAGTAACAGGGTACCATGTCAAGGCACCGGAAGAGCTTGTGAATGACAAAAATCCCATCATGTTCGAACCCTTTGACTACGAAGAATATTTGAGGTTTTACTTTGCCCAGGTCCCTCTTGGACGTGCTGGATCTACTCTCCAAGATTATTGTGGTGTTTAAAATTTGGGCATCAATGTTTGTTGCATTGTCTGATCAACCCTCCTCTCTAGCTCTTTGTGTCTCTATATATCCTGGTAAGGTTTGATGTAAAATATTTGTATTGCTTTGAAAATATCCCATTAACTTGGAGCTGCAACACCTGGTCTTAAAGGTTAATGCCGTATCTAAGATTTGGGTTTAAATAATTTATGTATGTAATGTAAGAAATTGTGTGTTCAAGCTCTTGCTCTCTCTCTCTCTATATATATATATTATATTATAGTATGGAAAACAATATTATAAAGATTGAGAGAATAATATTGTTTGAATCTAATATCTCTAAAGAGAATAATATTGTCTTTTATCACTGAAACCACTTGATAATTCATTTGTTTGTCAACTTTAATACTGCTAAAATAAGCATATATTATACTATGAACTTTTTAATGTATTTTAATATATTATGCGAGTTATAAAATAAACACGTGAGCCTTGAAATACTTTTTTTTATAGATATTGTTTAACGAATTATGGTTAAAAAAAATATTTATTTGTCTATGTTATGATATTGGGTCAATAATAATAATGTTGTTGTCTAAAATTTTACATTAACTAGTTATTGAGCAATATTCATAATGTGAAGCTTTTCAGCTTTCATGGTTTATTTAAAGTGCCCCTTAAAAAGTAGTAGAATTTTATGAATCAAACATTTATTAGTAAAAATAAGGATTATGAGGTTATTTTGTCCATATAGTAAATTTTAATTAATAACTTTGTCTCTACTTTTTAATTATATTAAATTTATCTTCAAACTCATTTAATTATATCAATTTGACGTGATTAAAAGATAGAGATAAAATTATGAATTTGAGTTTGCGACAATGATAAAACGACTCCTTAAGCCTTATAAAATGATTTTTAATAATCTTCTAAAACGAATAAGGATTTGAGCTTTACTATCACTCTAATACAAGAATGATTCTATTAAAAATAGATTAAATAAATTGTAGTAGAGTTAAAGACAATATTAAATTTTAGAATTACGAGAGATAATTATTTTGGAGATATATAATTTTTTTATAATATATATAATTTTTAGAATTTTTATTATAGGGAAGAATTTTGTAGAAATATTAAATGATATGAATTATCAGAGAATTCGATCAAAAAGGATACTTGGCATACTTTAATTGACGAAGGAGTAAAAACAAATAGACAACTTACGAAAACTTTCAGAGAAAGTATAATAAACTTTTTCTCTTTAACGCTTACTATCAATTATTATCCACATTTTTTTTATAGAAATAATAATAACTATTTTAAAACATAAAATTTATACACAGTAAAAAGTTGCAAATGATACAAATGATTTATAAGGTATATAATTTTAATTAAGCTCTACTGATTGTAGGGGTGTAAATGAATAAGAGGTGTAATGAATAAAGTGTTTGGTGAACTGTTCGTATAACGTTCGTTTGTTAAGGTAAATAAACGAGTATGAACAAAAACAATTTATGTTTATTTAACAAACGAACGAACATGAACAAATGTGTGTTTGTTTCGTTTATGTTCAAGAACAAATTCGTTTATAAGTTCGATTATGAGCTCATTTATCGACTTGTTTTTTCTGTTTATGAACAAACTCATTTACCCAACTCTCCTTTTTCTTTTATTTTTTTATATTTTAAATATTGGTGAATGTATAGTCTAAACTAAATACATAGTAAAAATTAAATTTAAATTGTAAACTTTAAAGAGTTTAAGCACTAGTGCATAATTTTATCATTTTTCTTTTAGCTTGCAAATGAGATGATAAAATTAAAAATTGAACATCTAAACAAATGATAAAAAACACTAAACAATTGCTAAACGATCATTAAACAAACACTAAACGTAAATGTTCGTAAACGCTAGATGAACACGTTCGTGAACATATAAATGAACATGTTAATAAACAATAAATAAATGAATATGAACACATTCAAAAATAAATAAACAAACACGATATTGAAAATATAAACGAACACAAACCGAACACGAACACCTTTAAAAATAAACACACGAACACGAACATAATCTTATACGTTCAAGATCGATTCATTTATACCTTTTATCTCTTTGATCGTTTTTATTTTATCATTTATTTTCAGTTTGATTTAGTTTTTGCTTCTCATTTCTGTTAAATAAAATTTATAAAATAAACCAATAATATCCACCAAATAAATCTTCCTGATTTACAAAGATTCATTGCCAGGAAACAGTCATGTATAAAGCCACAAATCACAACACAAATTTTTAAGATTATATTAATTGTGAAAGCCACTATCATAACAAATATAATAAGAGGAATTAATTCCTCATAACAGACGCAATGGTACATACACCCCACAAAAGAACCTACCACAACAACCTGGACCACCTCCTAATTCTTATTTATACGCATCATTAATATAGTTTAGACATAAGCAATTATAATTTCATCTAAATCTATCACATAATATAAAAGTTATGATTAAATCTATAGTACGAGTTAATTTAATATCAATTTAATTAAAAATTTATTACAATGTCATCTGTATAAAATTTAAGAAGTCATTTTGTCTTTGGAGTCAACTTAAATCCACAAATTTGTCTTTGCTTTTTAATTATATTAATTTTGTCTTTAAACTTATTTAATTATATCAATTTCACCATTTGATTGATATACCATTACGTTATTAATGTGAAAGTTAATAATACTAACATGATGATCTATTATATTGAAGTGTCGGTGCATGTTAGAGGTGTTTAAATAATCCGTTACCGTTAACCGTAATCATTGATTGATGTGATTAATTATACGTTAAAAATATCGGTTAACAATTACGGTTAATGAATTTTAATAAATGGTTAACCATCGGCTAACCATTAATAAATTATAATTAATAATTATATTTTTTAGAGAATAGAAATAGAAATAAAATCAAAATGATTCCTCCTATTTTTTAGTTATTATGTTTTTCTTATATAGGAGCACATTAAAGAAACATATGTGGAAGAAATACACGATTTTAAATTATAAAATATAAATATACACGCAAGATTTTAAACCATAAAAAAGGAATATACCTCATAATATATATTTCCATAAAATAAAATACATTTAAAAATAAATAAGATTTTTAAAAATATATAAGTTTCTACCGTCGTAAAATTTATGAAATTTTAAAAATTTTAAGTTGTGTTATGTTTGAAAAATATTATAATAGATTACCCTATAACAAAACCATTAATAACGGTGAACCGTTAGTAGTAAACCATTTTTTAGTGATTATGTTATGGTAAACAAAATTTAATAACCATTATAACGGTTAATCGACCGTTTAGACTTAACGGTACGATTAATTAACTATGAACACCCATAGTCCACGTGTGAATGATGACATGGTCAATGATCTCAATTGATTTTTTAAAGTGAGTTTTAGGACATAATTGATTTTAATTGAAAGTTTGCAACATTATTTAATCTTTAAGAAAAAATTAAGAATTTAAGAAATTATTAGAATTTTAAAAATATTATAATATTTATAAAATCATTAAAAATAAAAATAATATATTTTTTAAAATTTTAAATAAAAAAATATTATAGGTTATAAGATAATAAATATTAATATTAATAAAATATTAAAATGTTTGAACACTTTCATCATAAAGTCTTTGTCTAGATACGAGTACTCTGAAAGTTGGATGAATTTATTCTTTACAGAGAAATACCAAAGTAATATGCCAAATCTGAATGGTAAATGCAAAAGTAATTATAATAAAACCCAAAGGTACCATCCGAGTATAAATTCAAGCATTATATATGGACATTAATCAGGCAAATTTTTTCAAAGTCTTCCATTATTTGGTTTGTATACATAAAATGATGAACTCGGGAACACAGGCTAAGCTCCCTGTTATAGATTTCTCAAACCCAAACCTGAAACCAGGCAGCCCTGAATGGGATTTGGTGAAGTTCCAAGTCCGTCAAGCATTGGAGGAGTACAGTTGTTTCGAAGCTTCCTTCGACCAAGTCGTCGAGCTTCGAAACGCTGTATTCGGAGCCATGGAAGAGGTCTTCGACTTGCCTTTAGAAATAAAAAAGCTCTATGTTTCGGACAAGCCCTTTCGTGGTTATTTCGGTCATCAATCGAAATTGCTCGAAAGCATGATGATTGATGAAGCAAAGAGCGCAGAAAACATCGAACAACGCCTGACTACCACCTTGTGGCCTCACGGAAACATAAGCTTTAGGTTCAGAATATCAACTCTTTCCAATTATCTTCTTTTCTTTTCTTCAAATAGAATAGTTTGTTTTACTATATTAATTAATTGGTGTTCATTTGGCAGTAAAACTCTGGTGTCTTTCACAGAGCTAGCATCAAGATTAGAGAAGACGATCAGGAGGATTATTTTTGAAATTTTTGGTGTGGAGAAGTACATAGATGAACACATTGACTCCACAAATTACCTTCTAAAGCTCATGAAATATAATGCGCCCCAAACCAACGAGCCAACCATCGGGGCAGTAGCTCACAACGACATGAACACAGTGACCCTATTGTATCAAAACGAGGTTGATGGATTGCAGATTCAAAACAAAGATGGCGATTGGATCAACGTACAACCCTCACCCAATTCCTTCATAGTAATGTCGGAGAGTCCCTCTACGTAAGTGATCACTTAGCTTCAATGCTTGAAATATAATTTCACTTCCCTCTAAAATATTAAGGGTTCGCCTCTTAACATAAAATCTCTTGGTCCGCCCCTATTACAGATATGGTTAAACGGTGGATTATCAGCAACTTATCATCGTGTGGTGGTGAAGGGGAACAACACAAGGTACAGTGCGGGATTATTTGCAGCGTCGAGAGGAGGATACCAAGTGAAGGCTCCTGAAGAACTGGTGGATGAAAAAAATCCCATGCTCTTCAAACCCTTTGACTACGAAGAATTTCTGGGGTTTTACTTAACCCAGGTTGCTCCTGGAGGTGCTAGAACTGGTCTTACAACTTATTGCAGTGCTAAGATTTTGGCATAAATGATTGTTATGTACATAAATAACAAGTTGTGTGATCAAGCTTTGGGTTTTTTGTATGTATATTACTGGATAAAAATAATCTTGTTTGGTAAAACTTCGGATTATGCATAGTGCATCCACCGTCACTTTACCTGTATATAACCGTCGTTATTCCGATAATAGATTACTATTTAAATTCTTGTTATAGGGTATAGATCTGCTATTGAGAATAGAATGAGCCCAGTTGTGTTGAATGAGGCTTACGAGGGTGGCAGAATTAAAGAAGCTAACCTCACGGACCCAACAACAAATGTAGTTGATCGATTAAATTAGAATGTTCATCATGAAGTAGTTGTTTTGGGGACAAAGTTATGTTTTTTAAGACCAAATTTTAAGAATTTTGTTAACAGCCAGATTTCTTCTTGGGACCAGTGCTTTAATGTACGTCTATACTTAAATAACATGAAGAAAAAAAATAATAGTATTTTTTTATTGGATGAAATTATAAATGATTTAGTGAGGAGGGTTCCCACATTGGATTTTTTAGACTCCAAGAGGGTTCACATAAAAACTCTTAACAATTACTGTAAAGTTCAAAATCAATAGACCACAGTGATTCATCGTTCGTTTGGAGTTAAACTCTATTGAATTAAATAAAGTAAAATTAAAAAATTCTTTAATTACATAATAATGTGTTATTACCTGATTAGAGCATTAAATTAAAATTAAGACCAAATTAATTGGATGTAAGTATATTAATTTTTTTAAATGTCTCATCAGCTCCTCTATTAAAGGTTAATGGAAGGTGGTTTAATTAACAATGTTTAAATAATTAAATGGTATGATTCATAAATTAAAAAAATTAACGATCAGAATGAAATTCTCTCATAATTAAGTGGTCATGAGTATTGTTTACCCCCAAAGTTTATATTTACTTGATTCGAACAAGGAGGCCCAAAATCTGATACAAAAGCCCAACCGTTTTATTATTGTAATTATTATTATTATAGATAAAAAGTATTACATAAACCCTAATAGAAACCCACAGTTTCGTTATTGAAACCTAAAAACCAAGCTGAAAAGTAAGCAAGAAATTCAGACAAATGGGAAGCAACCAAGCAGCTGTCTCTTTCTTGAACAACCTCGCACGCGCCGCCTTCGGCCTAGGCGCCGCCGCCAGTGTCCTCAACGCTTCCATGTACACCGTCGACGGTGGCCAAAGGGCTGTGATATTCGACCGTCTCAGGGGAGTATTGGATAAAACCGCCGATGAAGGAACCCACTTCTTGATCCCATGGCTCCAGAAGCCTTTCATCTATGATATCCGCATGAAGCCTCATACTTTCTCATCTGTTTCTGGAACTAAGGATCTCCAAATGGTTAATCTCACCCTTCGAGTTCTTTCTAAACCCAAGGTAACCCAGTCATTTTTTTAGCTTTTTTGTTCTTCAGGTTTAACCCGTTTGTTTGATTTATGGGTTATGTTTATTGTTTGATGAATTACCAGGGAATTTGTGTTTTTGGATGATTTTAGTAAATGGGTTTGTTGCAAAAGGAAATAGTTTGTTCATTAAATCAATGGAATAAAAGTTGATGAGTTTTTCTACTTGTTAAAAATTGTATAGAAATATAGCTTTTCTTGTGTAATTATGCTTGATGAATCCATGGATTTAGTTATGTTTTCTGAAGATTATTGTTTGATTGATATTATTTTTGCAATAAGGTGGAGAAACTTCCTGAAATCTATCAACACCTTGGTCTAGAATATGATGAGAAGGTGCTTCCTTCCATTGGCAATGAAGTTTTGAAGGCCGTGGTTGCACAGTTCAATGCTGATCAGCTCCTCACTGAGCGTCCCCAAGTGTCGGCCTTGGTCTGTAATTCGCTAACAGAGCGTGCGAGGGACTTCAACATTGAGCTAGCTGATGTTGCTATCACGCATTTGTCATACGGTGCTGAATTCTCAAGGGCTGTGGAGCAGAAACAGGTGGCACAACAGGAGGCGGAGAGGTCTAAGTACATTGTGGCGAAAGCTGACCAGGAGAGGAGGGCTGCTATTATCCGTGCTGAAGGTGAAAGTGAGGCTGCGAAGTTGATTTCCGAAGCAACTGCAACTGCTGGTATGGGGCTGATTGAACTGAGGAGGATTGAAGCATCAAGGGAAATCTCTGCAACTCTAGCCAGGTCACCAAATGTTGCATACCTTCCTGGTGGCCAGAACATGCTTCTCGCTCTGAACCCATCGAGGCCTTGACAGTTGCTTGAGTCATGGTAATTTTGCATACCCCATAAATGTTGAGTGTGAATTTGCAGTCATGGTTGTGTTTCACGTCGGTGCAGCAAACTATAAGTTGAATTTATTGCAGCAAAAGGACACCATTTCCTTTCTGTTAAAACGTGGAGGTTGCTTTCTATATTTGTTACAATCAATGCGGAATTGTCAAATATCTTGCTTGCCATATAACATGTTTCTGCTCTATTGAAATCAGCTACGAACATTTAGGTTATGACTAGAAAGTCTGATCCCTTATATTTGTTGAGATTGTGTCCCTATCATTTTGCTCGGATTCTCTTTTTAAAGATGTCTGAAATATATCTGGATATAAATATGAGGATACGATCTTCCAAGAACCATCTAAATACGTAGAAACTTTGAAAACACTCATATTCGGCACTCAAAACCTAGATTAGTTTTGTTCTATTCCTGCTTATTTCAGCTATTTTCTTTTATGTCATTATGCAGACACAAGCTGCCATATGTGGGGGGAAATGGTGTCAAACCAACGTTTTAAATTGTGTAATCTTTATCAAGATATAGATTATCTTTTGGTTTTCCGTGGAGTTTGTCCAGTTTTATCCACACATCCAAAACAACCAAGAATTTGCACTCAACTTTGTAACATTTTTGAAATGTATAAGATCTTGACAGCAATGGCAAAGGTTAAGCCTAAGACTCCCTGTGAATTTCAACATCTTTGTCACTTGGATGCTGCTAAGTTAATTTTTACCACTCATTTGGGCAATTAATTCAGAAACATCTGCAGATTTTCATAATAATCGAACCTGGAAACCAACTTATTTACACATTATATTGACATCTCTTTAGAATAATGGTTCAAAACCAGTAGTACGCAAACTACTCGTATTTTAACAAGTGGAGTGGGTAAGGTGTACCGGTCTTATACTAGTACTCTACCTAGTGAAGTATAAAAGATGTATCACTCGTCAATAAAATTGAGGCTGGTGATGAGACGTCATAAGATTAAGCGGAACAAGCATCACTTTAATCACACATCCGATACGAAAAATGAGTTCCGGACATATAATCATATATAGTTATGTCAGTCAAACCTTCAGAAAAAACCCCTTGGCTTACCGGAGCTCTCAACGAACCTATTTCCTCCGAACTAACTATAATACATAAGACCTTTAACAGACTCATATGATCTACCAGAACGAAATCCATGATCTGACAATCAGATTTACCTACTTGTTGACCTACAAATAATCATAATAACCATATGCCTAACACTATAACCTGTGATCACTATAAATATCCCAACCACGACTGAAAGGGGATCTGACCTCCATAATCTCCATATGGACTCCTACCTTCTTATGACTTTCTCTTTGACATAGGAACACAGGCCAATGGTCGTTACCTCACCGGTCGCCTCTCTCTTCCCAAACTACGACTGACGAAACAAACTTAACTTGTTCCCATTAACAACTATCATACGTATATTTGTCTCTTTCAAGAAGATTGTTCCATTTATTCTCACGTGAAGACCTTGTCTTTCGAGATGATTAAAGACCTCATAAATCAAGATGTGCACATTCAACGTCCCAGGAAAGGCATCACCAATAACAAAACCAATCTATTTATTATGCATTTTCTTTTCAGACAATGGGTTGTGCCTCGAAAATAATAGTTGTGTTCTATATACTAAAATTTGAGTTAGAATTCGCGAGTCATTTTTAAAAATGACTACATAAACGGAGTAAAACTTACAAGGTCCACAATTTCTTTTACAAGAATTGTCTACTGAGCCTCTTCTTAAGCAGCCCTTTATTCTTACTGAATTTTTCATTTTTCTTAAAAGCACTCCTATCAAAAGCCCACGTTGGTTATACAACCAGATATGGTTAATGAGAATATAATCCTCTAAAGACCCTCCAAACATATAGAAATCTTCAATAAAACCTAAAACATACTTGTGACAGACAGACACAGAAATGTTTGATACTCAACACCAAGCCCGAGTAACATAGGTTCTTAATATATTAAATGGTTGCGTTTCTTTAATTGAGAGAGAGAAACTTCCACAAACCAAAAGGCTAAAAGTGAATTGGAATTTTGGTGGGTCATTGGTTCCCTTCATATTAACGCTATTCACCTAAGGTTGTAAGACCATCCCTAACATTAAGGTGGTGACTAGTAACTAAACCAACCCCAAAACCATTGCTGAATTTTGAGTGCAGCTTTCTTGCGGGGTGTTTTGGAGTCGGGACATGGCTCTCTTAGAAATAATTTAAGCAAAGCCTAGATACCCAGACATTGGTTTTGGCATGTAATTTTATGTGAGTTTGATGTTCTCAAAATAATGAACCAAAGGAGGGAATTATGAAACTGTAAAAATGAAAAAGGCTTAACGAGTAAAATATTCACATCTAGATCATGAGTATTAACATCCTTCACATAGAGAATCACCTGTTAGTCACCATTTAATATATCTATCCTTTGATTGGGAAATACAGTTAACTGCTTCTCCAAATCTAAGACTGTTGAGATCACAAATCAAAGCTCACCTGCAGGAGTAAAGCTTTCAGCATCGCTATGTAGATAGGTAGGGAAATCACACAAATTGAAAGGATGAAAAGTGATTGAAAAAGGGAATAAGAGCTCACTTTCTCAGTAGTCAAACTCACATTTTAAACCACTTTGGATTGGGAGGTTTTTTGGAGGTAGGCTTGCTTTCTTGCACAACTGGGGAAGGCATTGCACTGGCAGCAGCAGGCTCCGGGGTAGATTGAACCGACTCTGGCTGCTCAGTTTCAGCAATGACTTCCAAACCTTTCAAAGACATGATTTCCTCCTGAAGGAAGGGGCCTGAATTCGCAGCTGCAGAATCGTCTCCTAAACATTTTAAAGAGAGATTAGCAAGGCATCACTGAACCCCGAACTTATAAAATAGAAGGGTAAAATGTTGAGCACAGAATCCATTCAAAACTAAAAACTATGTAATTCAGTAAAACTTCTCAGGGGAATTCTACAGAGTTGTATTTAACATGACTAGTAAGTATTTAGACAATCATTAGATGACAACTGGCCTTACCAGTAAAATGAGAATAAGCCAATGTTAAATATGCAACAACTGATAAAACGAAAATAGCAAAATGGGATGCTATACATGGTAATGACAACATAAAGAAGTATATCTTGGTTCAACTATGCACTGGCACAGTCATAAGCTACGTTACTTGGACTAAAGGTTGGTGTCATATACAAATGTTTCTGACACGGATATGTTCAATTTTTTTCAAGCTTTTCATATATTTGAAGGGCCATATTGCCATACACATATCTATATAAGGGTCATACAGGAGTATACTTGAAGAAAAATCGGAATAACATAGACTAGAAATGTGACAATAAGGTTCATAACCAATGATGAGACAAGACTAAAGGATTAAACACTGCGTACATGTGAAAGCATGCACGAACCTTTTGGCAGATCATATGAAAAATACACAATTGCTCCAGGCATGAAACCAGCAGAGAAAAAATCCTGCGTCGTGTCCTTAATTTGCTTCTTAGGAGGTGTTGTATCTGCAGCATTACATATTAGACATCCTGGGCATAGTTTCACAACCAACATCCAGCTAGTATTACATAAGTAACCAAAATGTCATTCTGAAATGTGCTTACATAAATAGAATGGCAAATCTGGTCGAGCAACCACTTTCGTGATAAGGTCAACCAAGCTCTGCATTGTCTCAGATGGATGAAATGTAACCTCTAATGTGTGGTTATCCGGAAAGCGGACCCTTATGACAGCCTGATAGCGAACATATAAACTTAATGAAAAGTAAAACTAATTATCAAAAAGAAAAAAAACGAAAAAAACCTACACCAACCTACTCTAAGATTCACTAATCTTTCAAAACAAAAATCACTACTCATCCTTGATATTGTTCTCTCATCGTTGGGATCCAAGCATTCTTAACACACACACAACAAAAACATTCCCAAAAGGAGTAGCAAGTACCTTTGTTATTCTTGATCTTCGAGCTGCCTCTTCTGCTTCTCGGATTTTTCGTGTCTTCAAGAACTTATCTGTTCATAATCATATCCACTTATAAACGTGTAAAAATATATTTCTAAATACTTTATGAAAAATCCAGGTTACCATGATTTCTTATAAATTGGAAACCTTGCACACAAAAATGTGCCCACACATGTCCTTCTCAAGACAAAGAGCTATCATTGGTTACTTTGACACAACAAAATCGAACTCAACCAGTAAAAATTAGCGAACCAAACTGAGAGAATAAAACTGAGTATGAGTTGAAGCTCGTCAATAAAGTACCTTCCTTTTTAGTTGCCATTAGTCGATAATAATCTTCTGCAGTGAAATCATAGAAATCATCTGACACCTCTGCCCAGAAAATATATAACATAAAATTTTATCAATTTACAAAAATCACCTGACATTTCTAGTTGATAGGTAAGTCAGAAGTCCGAAAACATGTTTTGGTAGGTCATACCAGTGTCAGGCACACCATTTTGTGTCGATGAGAGACTTGCAGTTTCAAAAACATGAATTTCTCGTCCAAACTTCTCTTTCGCAGCAGCAAACTTAGCCTGAAACCAGTCAAATAGTTAAACAGCATTAGACTGCATACCAAAAAAGTTAAAGGGGCCTCAAAACAAACAGCATGATGATATTGTCACCGAATACCAAAAGCAATGTCTTTGCCAACCATGAAAACCATATATGACTAGCATACAAAACCGTGCCGAGGTCGTACACTCGTAATTAAATTTCTCTCCTCAATACTAGGAGTATGAAGATTCAAAAACAATACAGTTGTGTTCTTTTCCGACATCTACATATCTCTTCTACAAACAACAAAGGCAGCACGACATGAAGTTGGGACCAGATCAGAAGAACAAGATTCCACAACTCCATGAGCACTGATATTTTTAAAACAACCTTACTTCACTTGAAGCATTGAACAGTGGCTTTAAATTAGTTTTATCTAATTACTCGTATTAACTTTTCCAGAGCACTTTTACCTAAAAACCAAAACTGGTGCTACTTTCCATCACCAGTTTATGCATCCGCCGACTTCTCATTTCGGATCTCAGCACCATAAACTAAGCAAACTATTACATAGATGGCAAAAGAAACCAAATTGGAGCTTAATTTCATCACAATTGAGCTAATTTCAGTAAATTGTTATGTTAAAGGACTTGAGTTCAAACTAGTAAAATTGTGAATCCTAATTAATCCATGCCAATAAAATTGCATCAGAATAAAGCTAAACTTTTTCATTTTTTCAGAGTTAAATCTTTCTTTCACTGTTCTGAAGCATCTAAAATCAAGAGGCAAAACAAACCCAATCGAACAAAAAAAAAAAGAACTAGACCCATCACATGAATCGACTACCAGAGCGAAAACCCAAATTGAAACATCATTATAAACAAGATTTTGAACTGCAGAAAATAAATACGTTTTAGAAAAAGGAAACACCTTGGCCGATCCAGCCTCCATGGAATCAATACTAGTCAATCTCCTCCTCTTCAAAGGCAATGGCGACGAACCATCCACGATCATCAGCAGCAAAATGGAAGTTTTCAGATTTCCTCTTGGAGGATTTCTTCCGTATAAGATAAAAATTCCTGTTCTCTTTCCCTCTTTGGATTTGTTTCTGGTTTATTATTTTAATGTTAGGATAAATTACGTAACTAGTCACTAATGTTTGATTAACTTTTTATTGACGTTTTAAAATTAATGATTTAGTCACTAATATTTTCGATTTATAACAAATTGATTTATCGCCGTTAATAATTGTTATCGATGATAATAAAAATATTAATGTGGCTCATTAAACAGGTTGACCTTATAGTGTTTGATCATACAAAACATTTACATTGACTTATTGTTTAATTTTTCTCTTAAAAAATCTTCAATTCTTAAAAACCCTAATTATCCTCCAAAAGCATACTATCATGGCAAAACATAAGAGGAAGAAGCACCACCCCAGTACAAAGGCTATCATCTACCTTCTTAGCTTTATCAACATGCTCATTTTTTTTATCTTCATATCTTGCAATATCTTTGTCATTCCAAGAGAAACACCTATATATTTCCTACCAAACTGTCAGCAGCTGCCACCATCAAACTATCAGGATCAATAGAATTAAGAACCTCAAACTTATTATTCGATCCAATCAAAGCAGTTTTTCCCTCGTCCTTAGAGGAGACTGCAGTTTACTACCTTGCTCAGAATTCAAATTAACCACCTCAACATAATTAAGGCCAATCACCTCATCAGAACAATCCACAGCCCTATCAGAGCAAACCACAACCTCATCAAAATTATTATTTTCAAATAAAATAGGGTCAACAGGTACAATCTCAGTACCAATCACATCCTGCACACTCCCACAACCATCAGTAGGAACAACAGGATTTACCTTATTCACATCACCCTTAACCTCTAGACTTGCTCAACCTTTTTCCCCTGAGGACAATACTTCCCTATATGATCAAATCGACCACAATCAGCACATGATACAGGATCCAAGACACAATTACCTTAATTCAAACCACTAAACCATCACATAAGAGCACATCAACATGATCTGGAATCTTTGAACACAGAAACTTCAATGCAAACTCTAGTATATTCAAGAAGCTCCCAAGCAGCTGTAATGAAATCCATATGTAAAGGTCTACCTAAGGAACTTGCAATGTAACTAAGCCTGTTTTTCAAAAATAGCTCCAAAGGAACATTGTATAATTGAATCTAGATTGGCATACGAACCAAATCAATATGTAATTCCTTCAAATTTGGCTCCCACTTCCTAAGGAAAATTGGTTTGTGCCGTACATGCCAATGACCATTTTCTAATACCCAGCCCCGAGTAGTTGAATCAACAAAAGAAAAAACAAAAAAAATTGACCATCTAATCTGACCTTAACCGGAGAAGGTTTCCCTCATATTAGCTCAATAATCTTCTGAAGAGATCCAAAATTCGAGCCGAGCCAATAGATTGCCAAATCGACGCGTATCTCCACTCCGAAATCTCTTCCTCAAATACAGATCATGGTGGCTTACCACAATAGACCCCTCAACCTCCGACAAAGGGAAAAATTCAGCTCATGTTCATCCCCCGCCGCAAATAGCTACATCTAATCAGTAGCAACCTCACCAGACATAGCCCAGTAAAACATCCCAACAAATCGAAAACCCGAAATCAATAGAAAGTAAGCAAAGAAATAAGAAGAAATGGCCATGCCTTCAACCACCATTATCCCAGCTAACATGTACCGAGAGAGAAGACTTAACGTGCGTCATTCCCTGGAGTAAGATTACAAGATAATATATGTTCAAAATTATTTCAACAACTGACTAATATTTTTATATTTATAATATCTTAACTTTTTATTATTTTAATTTAACTTAATATTTTTATATTGAAATATTTTATATTTAAAAAAAATTAAATAAGTTCCTAAACTTTTTAAAAGATGTAATCTGGTATTGAACTTGATACAAAAAATAGGATAAACTATACAAATGGTCACTAATGTTTGAGTAAATTTTTATTTTTCTAATGAAGTTTCAAAAGTAATAAATCAGTCACTAATCTTATTGATTTGTTACAAATCGGTCAATGTTAACACCCGTTAACGGAAATGACGAAAAGCTTACTTGGCAACGTAAACTGCCATGCTAGAAACTCAATCACTGTTGACCAGTCAAATCTCAACTATATCAACTTTGACTATGATTTCAACGTTGATCTTCTCTATAGTTGAGATTGCCATGCTAATAAATTATGCGCAAATGACGTGTAAGTATACACAATCGCAATAAGTAATAAAGTGATGAGTGAGTATCGTCTCCATAGGGATTGGTGGAAATTATGAGTTTGACCACATCACTGCACTAATTTATCTAAGTATAGAAATGATATATACACTGATGATGCTTCAGCAATGAAAATGTGAGAGTGAATGAAATGATGGTGAGGGAGTGTGATTGAGTGAATAATGTCGTGGCAAAAGAGCGGTTTATAATGATGAATATGATGAAAATACCAAGGCAATGTAAAACGGTAAAAATAGAAAATAAATGGAATAGCTTGATAATCCTCACACGGGAAACTACTTTGGGAATAAATGGTGGGGAGTCGCTTAAGGAGCTGAAAACTTATCTTTCTAGCTGATTTAGTCTTCTAATGCTTTACTTGTACGACATAGTTTGCTAAAAGTGTTATTGCTATCTCTAGTCATAAGAACCTAACAAAATATAATGACACAACATCTTCTCTCAATCTCAATTATGGCAACCTACACTATTGAAGACACATTACCCCTGTTAGTCGTTGAAATTCTAGCTTAGTCTCTCTCAAGTACTAAGGGATTAGGCTATAGTGATTAACTACATCCCATTGCTTATGTTAATCATACTTAAGTTTCTCTTGAATACTTAAGAATTAATGACTAGATTTCTCTTGAACATCTAGTCTTCATATAAGAAATGGACACTCTCATGCCTCCTACAATCTTAGAAGAGAAGATGAAGCACACATAAACAAAACAGGTAAAAACAAAAGATAAACATTCATCAACCATTAAAATAAAGTTTCAAGTATTTATCAAATGAATCCCACCAAATATAACTTAGTTCATGGTGGGGTTCGAACAAACCATAGAGTATACCCAATCATTCATTCGACCTTACAACCTAAATAAAGTTTCAAGCTTTAACAATGGAGCAAAGGTTGGAAAAGAAAGCATTAGTGTGTACGGCCGACACTTCCCTCAAACCACCACGAACGGCTATAGCGCGAGCTCATCTTGTATACTACGCCACTCCCTCGAGATTCACCAATGGAGGAACACCAATAAAAAATAGAGAAAGAAGAACGGCAATGGAGGTAGAGAAAATGGAGAAGATGATGATGGATTTTTTCCCAATCTTTTTTTCTCTTGTGTGGTGTCCTTTTAAATAAAAAATATTTAAGGTATTCTTGGGAATTTTGCACTCAAAATACCCATCATACCTCCAAATTCATTCCTTGTGCGTGAAGTTTATCTCCATAGGTGGCAGTGGACGCCCATTCAGACGATTATCAGCAGCAGACACATGCTTTGACAACTGTCCTCTTGTGAAAATATCTCTTTTTTTTCTGCGCTAGAAATGTCAAGACATTGCAGTCTGCTTCAGCAATATGTAATGCCATGATATTCTTCTTAGATTGCCCTATGCTCCTTGTTTCCTGCACATCACTAACCAACCATATTTTTCCCATCATATAGCACCTTAACAAAGTAAAAATAACACAACCACCACAAATGTATCTACATGTAACTATATGAATCTAAAATGACCTATATGAACCCTTCGACAAATAATAACTTAAGTGAAAAAGACCTTAAAAATAGTTTTTTACGGAGTTATTAATATGTTCCTCGGCTTGAAAGAGTTAATCAAGTTCCTAGTCTGACTGCGACGTCAGCTTCTAGGTTGCCAATGTCACCTCCAAGGAGGAATAAGTTGGAGTCGACGAGGAGGATCCATAATTTTTTGAAGGTGAGTGACCAAAATGAAACCAAAACGTAACGTCATGCATGATTTAAAAAAATAATGGTTAGGTGACCAAAATAGAAAAAAAATTATATTTGGGATACTAAATTTGTCGTTTACCCAAAAAATTGATAGAAATTATCCCTGCCTTATTCATGTACGGCTATTAGAAACTAGACCAGTAAATTCTCAACTGACTCCAAAATTTACCACAAATAGTTCATCATAAACCATTTAAATTTCGTATCATCTTCATCCTTATTCATCACAAATAAAAACTTCTCATTCAAAAACAAGATGACAAAGATTGCATTGGTTGTATTCTCATTGGCCTTGGTCCTCTGCATCCAACTCAGTCATGATGCAGGGCAGGCACATGCCAATGATCAAGAAAAAGATATGTTCATTTTCAGTCTCGAAGCCGTCCTCAATGGTCTCGCGGACGAAGGAGTAATCGATCGAAGTAAAATCCACAAAGAGGATTTCGAAAAAGCCTATGAAACCGCTAAAGCTAAAGGAAAAGATAAATCATCGTCATTGGATACTTCCATGGAAGAGGAAAAGGTACTTCTCTACACAGGTCTCGGAGCCTATATCGAGAAATTGGGGAACGAAGGAAAAATCGATCGCGCTGCTGTGGAGAAGAAGGTTTTTCATTCTCTTCCGGGCGGAGGAAAAACCATCTCGCCTGAGTTGGATTCAAAGGCCAGTGAAGCTATTCTCAAGGCTTACATAGATGACAACAATATTGAAATATAAAGTTAAAAAACATATTCACACACTATGTATTAATAAATCTCAATGCTATTGAATTTTATCAAAGCCGGAATAAATTGATTTTGTAATATGTAATTTCAGTAGGAAAATAAAAGTTACAGGCCTTATTGACAAGGCAATGGAATTTTGAATATGACTGTTGTTTTGTCAAAAGTTGTGGTTTATTGTAATACGAAAGTTCAGAATCTATTAAATTTAAATAATTTCAGTGATAAAATAAACAATTTAAAAAATTTAAATTTGAAATTGTAATATGCACATATTGTCGAGAGTTAATTCTTTTGAACTGATATTACTTTATAGGACGCTTATATCATATTTAGGTATGTAAAAAATACATACCCAAACGGTTTCATTTCAATCCAATTTAATAGGTTAAATTTTTTCATAAAGTATGAGTTAATTATTGAGAATGTATCGCCACCTTATCATAGAAAAATTAATATTTAATTTAAATTGTATCACCACATAATTAAATCAAAATGCTATTAATAAGGATTGAGCTTAGGTTCTTCGTAAAAAACTAATATTTAACTATTGAATCAAACAATATAATTGTTAAACTTTTAACCTGACTAATATTTAATTTAAATTATAATTAAAATTGAAGATCAAACTTAAAATTATTTTCTCAATTCATTTGAGAATAAAAAATATTTATTTATATTTTTATAAAATTTTATTTAGAATATAATTTTAATCAAAATTTAAGTTGAATATTTTTCTAATAGTCCGGGTAAGTACAATGTAATATTTGTTCATAATATACACAACTAATTAAACTTGAGTCCTCTAAGGAAAACAACATTATCTTTTACCACTAAGGCTACCCAATAAATTTAAATTCGTGTTAAATATTAGTTTAGATGGAATTATAACAAATGTACAGTATTAATGGTTAAACATTAGATCGTTTCTGTCGAAATCTAGATTAATAATTAATTGTAAGAGTGGTCTTGACTTTGAACCCTTTTTGTTATTATACATCTTATTTTTTTAATTTTTATATAATTAGTTTAGATATAATTTTTTTTATCATATATCTCCTCATCTTAATTTAATTTTTGATATGATAATAACACACATATAAAAATGATTAGAAAAAGAAAAAATAACATTAAAAAGATCAATGTCACTGATGATATAGTTTATAAATGGTTTAATGAAAATTGAATGTTCATATTATACATTTTAGTAATTTTTAGCGTTAAAAGAAGTTTTTTTAAAGTAGATTTTTAATGTTTTCAACGTTATTATTTTAAGTGTTTGATCTGTCACAATCGTTAAAAAATATTATTTGATACGTGTCGTGTTTATAAAATTTTGTTTTTCTAAATTAAAGATTTTAAATTATAATTTATTTTAAAAAAATCTTAATTTTTTTCTTAAATCTAAAAAATTTCTAAAACAGTAAAAATCATAATTCCGAGTTCCTTTACCAATGTCGACAGCCCTCAATGTTGTCCTGGTCGTCGCCCTTTGTCGTTAGTCATTTTATCTAATCGAAAATCAATAGAACGACTGGAGGAATCATTGCTTGGTCGCAACAGTCATCGTTTGAAGTAAGGGAGTTCAGTCAATCACACTAATTGGAGTTTGATCGATTCGCCGTGTTGGTGGCGACCGTCAATATAAGGTAATTGAAATTAAAGGTTTTAGGAAATTTGAAATTTTCTTATAATTTCAAACAATAATTTTAAATAATAATTTTAAGTGTTTTTAATAAAAAAATATTTTTAATAAAAGTTATAAATAAGACATGTGTTAGACAACAATATTTTTTAACAATCATTGTAGTATAGACATTTAAAAGAATAAAGTCGAAAATATTATACCCTTACTTTAAAAAAATTCTTTAAAGACTTAAAATTAATCAAATATAATTTCAACACTCATTTTTATATTTTTTTCATTAAACCTTTATAAAAGGATCATTTAGAAAACTTAAAAAGAAAAATAAGTCAATCTCCACAAACAGCCCTTTTATTTTGTTAGCTTGGATCTTAAGAGTCCTCATTTTGTAGTTCATTTCTAATCAAAGAGAGGAACAGAAAAAGAGAAAGAGAAATGGGAGATCAACTGGCGAGAGGAGAAGAATTCGAGAAAAAGGCAGAGAAAAAGCTAAGCGGCTGGGGTTTGTTTGGCTCCAAACATGAAGACGCCGCCGAGCTCTTTGATAAAGCTGCCAATTGCTTCAAGCTCGCCAAATCCTGTAATTCTTTGCAAACGTTTTATGTTAACTTTTTTCTTTTTAAAAATAATAATAATTATGTTTGTTTTCTTGAGAAAACGATGGATTAAATATTTTTTTTTGAAGAATGAAACGTTCGAGATGATCTGACTAGTATTGCGATTCAGAAACTTTAATCTATAGTTCATTCCTTTTTAACGAAATGTTGATCGGAGAATGATTGGAAAAAAAACGAAATATCTGAGATCTTTTGATTAGTGTTGGTATTGAGGCGAACGAAATAAGAATTTGGTCGCATTCGATGGTTTTTCTATTTTTAATTGTTATTTTCTGTTTTATTTATTGATTATTGTGGGTTCTTAAATGCGATTGCGTCATTGTTTTAGTTTGGTTAGGAAAATTGTTAAATAGGGTTACTTTAAAATAAGAGCATTGATGAATTGCTCTATAATTCAATTTAATTCCAACTGCGTCATTATTCTGGTTCAATTAGAAAATGTGAGATTTAGGGTTTCTTTGGCATTGGATTATCTATTAATTACTTTATAGTTCAATATGTATTTGAAATGTGACGAAATTGGTTACTTGGAAATCTGTGATTCTAACCTCTTTTATGTTTTTTCTTTTCTCAAGGGGACAAAGCTGGATCAACTTATGTAAAGTTAGCAAATTGTATTTTGAAAGTAAGCCCTTCGGTTTTGTTCTTTTGATAAACTGCGATTTAAGATTTGGTTTGACCCTTTTTTGTATGTATCTATAGTTAGACAGCAAACATGAAGCTGCTCAAGCTTATGTTGATGCTGCTCATTGCTATAAGAAAACAAACGCTAAGGGTAAGTGCGGAGTGCACAGTTTCTCCTAAAAGTTCTGGAAGTTTGACTGCTTTCCACAACTAATTTTGTTCCTATGCAGAGGCTATATCTTGCTTGGAACAGGCAGTGAACATGTTTTGTGATATCGGAAGGCTCAGCATGGCTGCAAGGTATTATAAGGTATTGTTGATCAATATGCCTCTTTAAAGGGAAAAAAGTGTTTATCGTTCGTTGTAATTGCTTAGGTTAGGTATATGTGATCGCCATTCATTTTCTTTCATTTTGATTGGGTCATAAACTTTTACTCGAAGTCCATTAACAATTTTGCCACTAGAGTTAAAGATCCCAAGTGTTTGTGCTTTTCATAAGTCTCGTTTAGCATTGTTGTTGCACAACTTATGGCTTCAAAAGTTATATTTTGATGCAAACTCAATGCTAAATGAATTTTTATTTTTGGCTTTTGCATTTTTAAATCATGGTTTGAAAACCCAACCTAAAATGCTAAGAAAGAGAAAGCTTTTTCACTGTAATATTAAACACTTTATTTTGACCACATTTTTAACACTTTTTCCAACACGTGGTTTTATGATCCAAGGGTTTTCTCCCAACAGTATTATTAAACTAGCCTATAGCACTGTTGAATATCCATGTCTATAAATTTGTATGTTGATGGTACACGCTGTTCTTCTTAGACATGGGTGCTTATATATCTGTGCAGGAAATTGCTGAATTATATGAATCTGAACAGAACATCGAGCAGGCCATTGATTTTTATGAAAAGGCTGCTGATTTCTTCCAAAATGAGGATGTATTGACTTCTGCCAACCAGTGCAAGCAGAAAGTTGCACAATTTGCTGCTCAGATAGAACAGTAAGCATGATCAACTTCTTGTAGACACTGTTCATGCAAATTTTTAGTTTTCTACTACTGTCGATGGTTTGTAAAATTGTGATCATAGTTGGTGTTTTAATTTGCTAACACAGTTCCTTAAATACAGAATTTGGCAAAATTTTTAACAGATCTACTTTTGATATTTCTTCAGATACCAGAAAGCGATTGAGATCTATGAAGATGTTGCACATCAGTCACTTACCAATAACTTGTTGAAGTATGGAGTTAAAGGACATCTTCTTAATGCTGGCATTTGTCAACTTTGCAAAGGTGATGTTGTTGCAATCACTAACGCGTTAGAACGATATCAGGTTGTACTTTGGCCCTTTTAACATGATAAAACCTTAACCTTTTAAATTAGTTTGGTTATATTAAACTTATGTATGCATTTTTTTCTTCAGGAAATGGATCCAACTTTTTCTGGAACACGAGAGTACAAACTATTAGCTGTAAGTTATCCCAAGGAAACACTTATTTCAATTTTATAATTTATTATTGTATCACTAAAAAGGATAAATTGGTTCCTTTTTTGTTCTTTTGGCTGCTTAAAGATGATTGATTGATCAGGGGTGGCATGTTTTACCTTTTGTTTTATTTTTACTCTTGTTGTCCTTATTGTGCATTAATGGTATATCCAGATACTGGCTTATCTCTTAACAGAAAACTTGTTTAGTATACAATATGATTCATTCATTTCAAATGGTAGTAGTTTTTCAGAATCTAGTTCTTGCTGTGGAAGCAGTATCTTTCTGAGTCTCTGTTTTTTTATTTTATTATTATTACAGGAAATTGCTTCTGCCGTTGATGAGGAAAATGTCACAAAGTTTACAGATGTTGTCAAGGAATTTGATAGCATGACTCCCTTGGTATGTCAATTTCCGTTACAAATGCTTCTTGGATGGACTAGCGGACCGAGGTCAAACCAGTTGGACCTTTGGTTCTGATTGAACTGGTTAACCTAGCATTTTTATTTAAATGTGATTTTAGTTCTTTAAAAAATGATTTTAATGCTAAAGAAATATTAAATATAATAAATGGTTTATAAAAAATATGTTTACTTAATGGTTTTTTCTTTCCTTTAAATTATAGGTTCAAATCTCATCATTTTAAAAAATTAAGAAAATAAAAATGTATATTAAACCACGTTTTACCCTTTTCTTTTGTTTGACCTTTTAACTGTTGAACTTTTTGCTACTGTTTCATCTATAATGAATGGTTTCATAATGTACTGGACCAGTTGGACCATTGGTTCCTTGTCCAACTGGTTCAACTGGCTGTTCAATCAGGTTCGATAACTCTGGGACCTGGGTTAGGGTGGTATAGAACCAATTTCATTATGGCTGTGACCCAGAAACTACAAACTCTAACGAGCTTGCTGTTTCCTTGAAATGCATTACAGGATTCTTGGAAGACAACCCTTTTACTTCGAGTGAAGGAAAAACTGAAAGCTAAAGAAATGGAAGAAGACGATCTTACCTAAAAGAGGTTCATGTCATAACAGTTTCTTGTTTTGGGTTTCTTTTAATGATGACTGCTCTTGTTATGGGGTCCTTGTCTAGTTATACTCTTTATACACCCATGCGACAGTCGGTTTATAAGATGTTTTACTTGTTTGACTTTAAATTTGAGAACACTATCATACTGGTGATGGGGTGAAGATGAGGCTTGTAATTGAAATACTGCCTTGTTTTGCTGTGATGTGTCAAAGGAGGGAAATCTAAATGAAGAATAAAGTTGAAATTATAAATTGGCTCGCTGCAAAGGTAACCCCGTTCGCATCACCTGGCTACCCTTGGATGTCAGTGAAATGGGTTATCGTGGCCTTAGAGAAATCATGAATCTTAATAGACATTGTAGGACGTTTCAGCCGACAGATCGTGAAAGAATGGTTCAAAACTGGCAATATTTTGCAGGTTGGTGCAGATTGTGATATTTGGTATTAGAGCTGATTCTGGAGTACTAGTAATGTGTCATCGAGCACGATTTGCTCTCGTTGAGTTTTGGAGAACGGAACCAGCTCTGTGAGTTATGAATTTTATATTGACTGTGTATTAGAGTTCGATCGGATAACCTGTGAAACATTATTGGTGGAAAAAAATCTTTGGACCTGATAATTAGAAGCAAGATAAATGAATTAGAATTTGGTGTGGACCGCATGAGATGAGAGTATAGAATTTTCGTAGGCAGTGGTGATCCATATGGTTCACGAATCAGCAAATAAGTGTTTTTTTTAGCTAACCTAAGTTTGCAGAAGATATTAGATCTACATTTGAGGAACATGCTGCTCAATTTTCAAGATACATCTCAACAACTCTTTCAAGTGATGCATCAGCCATGTACAAACGCAAGTGGGGAATGATAAATGTAATGTTGAAGCAGCTAAAATTATTAGTGTCTACACCGACCAGGACAATTTTATTTCTAAAACAACTATTCAAGTCACAATATAATTGAATTTTATTTTAAAATTATTTTTCAATCAAGGTTAATATTTTACTTTGGAACATGCTTATATTCCTAACATACTCAAGTTCATTCAATTTTTCTTATGAAATATTACTTTTTGAATATTAATATTAATATATTCACATGGTAACGAAGAAGGAAGCCATTAAATAACAAATTATGCCCCCACACCATAACCACATGTTACAATCATAGGTAAATATCAAAGCTCAACTGTAATTAATTAAAAGAGAAAGCATGGAATTTGAGGCATTAATCATCAAATTTCCCCAACCATGTACCATCCTTCCTCTTCCTCATCTTCATCATGAACATCAATATTTTCTAGGATGATTTCACCTACATCATTTTCTGTTTCGTTTAAAGATCAAAAATTCATTTTAAAATAGTTATATGCGTCATGATCATCGTTATCTTTGTAACAATCTTCAATATCATTAGACAAGTGATCCAAAATCGATGTGCTGAAAACCCTAAAATTTTCAAACCAGGCCTGCCCCTCCCACGAGTAACACTCCATGCGATCAACCTATAGTTTGTGGTCACATCACTTGACCTTAACTTACGACTACCTTTGGTCTTGTTCTGGGCCTTACAAACGGGGCGCATGTGACACCCTGGGCACCTTGGCTTACCACATCGTCCGGTAAACTTGGAATGGTTGGTTGGTTTCTTCGGCACCTCGGAGAATAAACCGATAGTCGGAGGTGAATCTAATTGTTGAACAAAATGTGACACCGGTTTCGGATTCCATGAAGATGGGAGGGTTCGGCTTGTTCGAACAATGCCATAATAATGTATAGAAAACAACTATTTTATATGATTTGGATTGAAAGGGCAAGCTTGGAAAGCAAGGTGTTTTTATTGGTCATAATAATGTATAGAAAACAACTACTGTAAGATTAAACAAATTGACAAAATTGGCAAAATAAGTAACTTTAGTTTCTCCAACTAATAACCAGATGTGGTTACATTCTTTGATTAAATTTGAGTGAAAAAAATCATACATAGAAGAGAAGTTATAGTTCAAGGATTGTTGGTATATAATTTCGATTTATTTAAGTAGTCGTAAATCTAAAATAAAATTATGGTTGGATCAATAAAAATATAATAAAACTTTGTTTAACATAATTCGTATATGTTAGGATTTTCGGAAGCTCGAAACGACAACCGAAACGTTTTGCAAAGAGGGGTCGGAACGATTTTGTGTTTAGGGAGTAAGGAGATTGAAAGATAGAGAATTGGACAGCGATTTATAGTGGTTTGACTTTCTCAATCAAAGTCTACGTCCACTACCGTAGCCCCTCACCAAGGATTTTCCAACAAATTCACTAATTTGTTCTTTCTTTTGAGGATAAAGAGTAACCTTACAAACTCCCTAGTTTTTCCGGGCTAAACTAGAACCTTTCCCTAGCTTTTACACGGGCTAAGCTAGAACCTTTCCCCTTTACAAAAGGATAAGAAATGTAAACAAGAAAACCTCTCTAAGGTAGGTGTTTACAAGATTGAGCTCACAAGAACAAAATATATACAAGAGAAAGATGAAATAAGAATGAAAAATTCTTCTCTTGTGTTTGATTGCTTGGATAGTTGTTCTCTTATTTCTTCAAGTGTCCTTAGCTTGTATTTATAGCTTGGAATGTGTTTGAAGTCATATCTAGCCGTTGGGGATGTTTTGGAGCCGTTTGGGAATGATTTTTCTGCAAAAATAGGCTGCCCAGAATGGGAGGAATCGCTACCCCTTCATAGGGAATCGATACCCCTTCATAATATTCAAATATAATGATCGTTGGGCTGATGAACAGTGAGGGAATCGGTACCCCCTTGGGGGGAATCGGTTCCCCTTTTACATATTGGAATTTTTGAGCCTCGGGTACTGTTCAAACAGTGATTTACTATTCATAAAAACATTTTTGTGCTCAATTTTAAATTAAAAGAACTTTGAATTATTTTTTTAAATTTTGAATAAATTCAATTAAGTCCAAATACATTTTGTAAATTCAATTCAAGTCCAAAAACCATTTTGCCTTAAATTGTTATATCGAAACATAGTTCAACGGTATATATATATTTTAATTTAAAAATATACTAAAAATTATACATACATACATACATATATATATATAGGGAGAGGGTAGGATTCACATACATTGTAAAAAATAATAATTAATTGTACATTAATTTATGATCATTGGATGAATTGAAATTGATGGTTGAGATTATCTCAATGTTCTTTTTTCTTAATAAATGTCTTCTTATTTCATATCGATAATCTTAGCCGTATGTTTTTACTTTTATATTTTTTTTAACGTAATTCATATATATTTTTATTTAAATTATATTATAATTTTTTTGAGCATGAGGTAGGTCATGACGTACATACACCCTTGTATTTAAGACTTGGATAAGGTTTGGAATAGCATTTTAATCGCAAATTAGGGTTGGCTGGGTTATATTCGAGTTATTGATTAAAAAGTAATACATAAGTCATTCAATTAAAATATTATTACAAATAAGTTACTTTGTCATTAAAATTAAAAAAAATATTTAATATATCCAGATATAATAACAATTTTAGTCTCCAAAATTTATATTCTATCAATTTTATCAGGATTTGATATTCAATAAATTTAATCATTCATATTTATATATTTCATCAATGTAGTCTTTTTTTTTTGTGATATTGTCAAACCAAACGACCCCTTCATATCAAAACAATGGTTGAATAACTACATCATGTCATAAAGTAGTAACAAATTATTGTAAAACTATTATTATACCAAAAAAGTAATATAACATTTTCAAAAGAAAAACAATCAATTTAGGAGAAGAAGAAAGACTTAAATTGAAATTTTTAAATATGAAAAGTTAAATGTATTGAATTGTTTTAGGTTATGATCAAATTGATAAAGTGCATAAATTTTAAAGACTACAATTGCTATTATACACGATCTCATTATTTCGTCTAACAATAGAATAACATATTTGTAATAATATTTTAATTGAATAATTTGTTTATAACCTTTTTTTTAAAATAACATATTTATTATCTAATACATAATTAAGTAACTTTAAGGGTAATTTATCTTTAACTAAATGATCGAGTATGATCAGAAACAAAATTTTAATTCAATAAAAGTATTAGAAGTTAAATTTTAAAGCCTTCCTTATCAAAAAATTAAAAAATTAATGATATAAATGATATACTATCTAAAGTTTAGATGTGTCTAGATAGTTTATCAATTTAAAAATAAAACTGAAATATTTAAAAAATCATATGATTAACTATGAATTATATATAGGCAAGGGGGAAAAATTGAAACCTAAAATGTTATTAAAGACGATGGAAATGAAGCACACTACAATTATTCAAACAACGAAAATAAAAACTCAAATTATTACAGTACTAATAATAAGCCTTTATTTTACGCCTGATCTAAGAAGCAGTTTTGCATGGATTCCATGCAAAACATTAAAACCCTCCACGTAAACTGCATGTCAAGCTTAAAAGAGGAAGAATCCAGCGACAGCGGCCACACCACCGATGACGGAAGACGCCTTGAGAGTAGAGGCACCGGAAGGTGTAGGGCTATCGTAGCTATGTTCCTCGGCAGCTGGTGGAGGGGATTTCGACTTCGAGGCCTTGGGTGCTGGAGTAGAGGACTCACTATCATCGCTGCTGGTAGGGGCGGGGGAGCTGCTGCTGCCCTTGCCGGAGGATCCAGAAGGCCTTGGAGAGGGAGGAGAAGATTTAGAATCGCTGGAGGAGGATCCACTGGAGGATGACTTGGGTGAGTCGGAGGATTTTGTTGCTGCAGCCGCTATCTCCGCCACCACTGCCGCTAGATTTGTTCTTGCTTCCGGAGCCACCGCCGGAAGAGGGCGTTGGGAAGGAGGCAGAAGACTTCTTGGGGGAAGGAGGAGATGCAGAAGGTGACTTGGAAGGTGGTGAGAAGGAGCCACCTTTAGATGAAGATGAACCCCGAGGGGATGGCGACGGCGCTGAATTCCCCGCGAACGCCGAGACAACCACCACGAAAAGAGGGCAAGGACGAAAACTTGACCTGCCATTTTTATTTCTTTATCAGTTTCCGACGATCGATTCTTTTAATGCTTATGAATTATTCCAACGGCGATCTGATTTTTTTGGGGGATCAAATCGATCAGCGATTTATTTATATATGAATGTTGGGGGGGGGGGGCTTATCAGTGGCTTACAAATGCA